TCCTCCTCCTCCTCCTCCTCCTCCTCCTCCTCCTCCTCCTCCTCCTCTTCCTCCTTCCTCCTCCTTTTTCTCTGAGAATTTAGAGTTCTCAGTTCTATACACATTAGTACCTTAAAAGCCACCAACAGTGAATGTTGGGATACTTACAGGATAAGATAGCATCTGTTGAGTGTTCTATAGAACACTAGAGCCAAAGTTCCACACACCCCTCTCAGTTTGGGAAATGTTCACTATATTTTTCCTTTGGGGATTCTAAATGCACATTAGCATACAAAAGGCTTTGATCAGTTCTATCAAAAATAGGCTCATCTAGTTCCATTAGCATTTAATATAGCATTTCCCCAATTTATTTGTCCACAAGTCTCTTTCACCATGAAACCTTTTAACATCCTATAAAAATAGTAATACAAAGGGTATAGTCTAGGAAAACATGGATCGGGCATTAATTTGTTGAATATGTATTATTATTTATCTAATAACTATTTGTTCACTGAATGCTGGATGTCAAAATTCACATACACAGAGAAGACATATGCCCTTGGATTGTTTTCAGAATCTCATAGTTAAAGGTACCTACTCCCCCCATTGGTTTTATTGGAACAAAAAAGTTTTCATTTAGGTGCAGACAGGAAGGAAAAAAATCTCTTTGTAATCTGTTTTTACATTTGCAAATTGCTTAATGATTTTTGGTGGTATTTTCATACCCTTTCCATTCCTTGATGCTGAATCAATTTTCTGACTCCTTGTTCTCATTCCAAGGAAAAGTGTCAATGACTAAATTTCTATAGAGAAAAGCTAAGTCTGCTGTATTTTTTGCATCAGTTTGTAGAGCTCTGTTTACATGAAGTCATCGACTCAAAATTCCTGGTCAAGGGTTGAGGTTGTGGAGCAGTGGTAGAGTACTTGCCTCACCTGTGTGAGGCACTGGGTTTGATTCTCAGCACTGCATATAATTAAATGAATAAAATAAAGGTCCATCAACAACTTAAAAATATTTTTGAAAACCTCCTGTTCAAAATTCCCATGCACACAGGCAACTCACATAACAGTAATATAAGTGATTTTTGAAAGCACAAATGCACCACCTGTGGGATTGTAGTTTTACACTATTGAACTCAGTGGTCCCCATTCTGAAGCTATGTAGAGGTGGAGACGAGAGGAATTCTTTGGGGTGGGAACTAATCAATTGATGAACAATTATGGCCAGTCATTAATTTAAGTGCCCTTTGCAAATGGCTGAATATTCCTATGAGGTTGGTTCTCCATTCTGGCCTATCAATTCCAGCCAGAGACCAACAAAATAACATCACCAAGACCCTACATGGAAGAAAAAGATCCTTTTGCCACACATCAGGCTATCTAGAAGTGACTGAATCCTCAGATTTCTGTTTTAAAATAATTAAAAAAAATAAAACATATTAATAATTACCAATTAATTGGTTTCCCCTATTTTTAATCTGCAACCCTTTTTTTGGTCATCAAACACACCCATCCTGTGAGGCCCTACAGTCCTTATCGAACTGGAATGAGGAGACGGATGTGGCAAGATAGGGAAACCAGAAGCACGGATTTAGTGTTTAAATTCTTTCTGAATGATCTTGACCATGACTTGACCAGAAATGAGGTTTCTCCCAAAGCCTAGGCAGTGATATAGTCAATCCTTAGTAAAATTATATTTTTATAGTAAAATAATGAAGCTAATAACACATGCAGCAGTATAGGCATTATTTTAGTTATCTGTATTTACCTCATAAGATCATATTTCTTAATAATTATTTGATAGTAAATAAATGAACTCAGCAAGAGGTGACTCCTTACTAATCCAAAAAAAATGCTTATTCTAAAATTTTGTAAAAAATTAATCTTTCAATAATTTACTCAACTCCAATAGACCTCTTCCTGGAAGTGTTAATATCCTAATTTTAGTAATACTAATTCTTTCTTTTCAGTATCTCCTGAATAGGTAATAAATAAGTTGTCAATATGTCTTTATCATACTTGGCAAAGATGAGGATAATTTGCTACAGGTATTATTATTACTTGCAAGTCAGTTCAGATAAATCATCTATTGCTTCTCTGTACATTTCAACTCTGCTCTGCTCAGGGTCTCCCACCTGCTTAATCCACTGCAGTAATGGTCACAATTTGTTTATACTTCTCTATAACCAAGTTTTGTGGCCTTTTCTCCCACACTGTCTCTGAACTTGATCATATGACTTGCTTTGGCCAACAGGACAGTAGCAGACATGACCCAAGCAGAGACTTGAGAAATGCTTACATTTGGGGGCTTGTTTTTCTTGCTGCCCTGGGAACCTTGGGAAGCCAGGGCTAGCCTGTTGGAGGATCAGAGACTAGGTGGAGAGAGGCCCCACTTACCTGGGCTACCCCCAGAAAAGGCTATCAGCAATGAGTCAGCCTAGCTGACTTGATCTCTATCACCTGACTGGAGATGCAGGAGCAAGTCCAACTGAGACTGAAGAACCAACCAGTGGAGCTCAGCCCAAACTATCAGACCACCAAAATCATAAGCCAAATAAATGGTGGTTGTTTTAAGCAATTAAGCTATGGAGTGGGCGGTTACAGAACAACAGATAACTAATGCACATTCCTTCAACTTTCTTTCCTGCACAAGGTGAAGTCCAACCCTCTTTTTGAGGTATCAAGAATTTCTGAAAGAAAATACAAGGTTCCTGCTTGACTTACTTGCATATCTCTAGGCATCTCAAACTCTCCATGCCCATATCTAAACTCTTGATCATCCCCTACAACATTCTTCTTCTTCAGTCTCCAACAGAATAAATGGATAATTCATTCTTCTCAATTTCCATATCCCACAACACTCTATCAGAAAATCTTGTCAGCTCTTCCTTTAAAATATTTCCAGAATCCACCCCCTTCTCACACAATGGCCCAATGGTCCCCATGCCTTCTCACCTGAACCACTGCAATAACCTCCTACAGGTCTCTCTGCTTCCACTCTGCACCCCTGCGGTCTCTTTTCCACATAAAGCCAGAGTGAGCCTTTAAGTCATGTTGTGTTGTTGCTCTTCTCAAACCCCTCCAATGATTTCTGACCTTTATTCAATAAAATTCCCAGTCCTGACTTTGGTCTGTAAAGTCTGCCATGAGCAGCCACAGGTAACTTCTCTGACTCCACCACTACTTCCTTCCTAGTTCACACCAGCCTCCTTGGCCTTCTTGTTCTTCTTTAAGCACATCAAGGAGTTCCCTCCTCTGGGCTTTGCACATACTCTTTTGTCTACTTAGAACATTCTTCCCACAACAGCCTCCTGGCTGACACCTCATTTCAACGGGTGAGGTCCTTCTTAAATGTCATTTATCAGAGAGGTCTTCCCTGGCTGCCCACCTCAAACAGTGCTATGCCCCATTCCCTCCACCCCTTTGTTGCATTTCGGTTTTTGTTATGGTTTGGATCAAGAATGTCCCCCAAAAGCTCATGTGTTAGGCAATACAGCAATGTTCAGAGATAAAAAGATTGGCTCATGAGGGATCTGACATCATCTGTGGAATAATTCACTAGATGGATTAATAATTTGAATGGACTACAGGAGTATGGTGAAAACAGTAGGTCACTGGGGGCTTGGCCTTGGGGACTATATCTATCCCTGGCCCTTCCTGTGGTGCTCTATCTGCTTCCTGGCTGCCATGACCTGGGAAGCTCTCCTCGACCATACCCTTCTGCCATGATGTTCTACCTCGGAGCCAACTAACTGTAGGCAGAGTCTTTCTATGAGACAAAATAAATCTTTCTTATAAGTGTTCTTTTCAGGTATGTTAGTCAAAACAACAGAAATCTTGCCAACATAGCTTTCTTCTTTTATTTTATCCATGGACCTTTTCTATTTCTCTATTTGTTTATTGCCTGTTTCTCCACACCAGGTTGTAAGCTCTGTGAGAATAGGAACTTTGCCTTGTTCGGAGAAGTATTCCTAGTGCCTGACAGACAGACAGCAAATAAGCAACTGTTCGATAAAGGGAGGAAAGAAGGATGGATGCAGGCAAGACGTGGCTTTTCTACCTTGATAGTGATCTCAGGCAAGGGAGAAGGGGTTGGCATGAGTGTTGGTTTTGCCAGGCAACAGTGCCTGCCATGGGGATCATGACCTCTTTATGAGGCCAAGTCCTAATAATGAGTCTTTGCGTCTCTAACCTAGCCTCTCCCATCTATCTAGATTGTATTAAAAGTAGTCCTTCAAAAATGCAGGCTGCAAATTGGTGCAGCCAATTTGGAAAGCAGTATGGAGATTCCTTGGAAAACTGGGAATGGAACCACCATTTGACCCAACTATAGGTATATAGTATACTATATAGGTATAAAGTCCTCTTCTTGGACTATACACAAAGGACCTAAAAATGGCATACTACAGGGACACAGCCACATCAATGTTTATAGCAGCACAATTCACAATAGCTAGACTGTGGAACCAACCTAGATGCCCTTCAATAGATGAATGGATAAAAAAATGTGGCATTTATACACAATGGAATATTACTCAGCACTAAAAAATAACAAGATCATGGCATTTGCAGGGAAATGGATGGCATTAGAGCAGATTATGCTGAGTGAAGTCAGCCAATCCCTAAAAAACAAATGCCGAATGTCTTCTCTGATATAAGGGGGATGACTCAAATTGGGATAGGGAGGAAGAGCATGAGAAGAAGACTACCACTAAATAGGGAAGAGAGGTGGGAGGGAAAAGGAGGGAGAAGGGGAATTGCATGGAAGATGGAAGGAGATCCTCATCGTTATACAGATTACATGTATGATGATGTGAGGGGGAAAAAAAGAAGTATGTCACATTAGATTGGGTAGATAGAAGTGATGGGAGGGGAGGGGAGGGGAAGGGGGAATAGAAAGGGCAGCAGAATAAAATAGACACTAGTATTGCTGTATGTATATACACATGACTGTATAACCAATGTGATTCTACAACCTGTACAATCAGAAAAATGAGAAATGATACCCCATTTGATTCAAATGTATGAAATGTCGAGATCATTGTACTGTCATGTGTAACTAATAAAAAAAATGCAGAAAATAAAAAAAAAATGCAGGCTGGCCATCACTGTCTTCCTGGAGAACTTTCAGTGTCTAGAGAATAAGGGTCCATCTCAGTCTGGGGCAGTCAAGACCATATACAATTTTAATCCATCTTCTTGTTTCATCCTTTGCTACATCCCAAATCACTGTGACCTCTAAACTCCAGGAACATTCACCATTCAGAGGACATCCCTGTCCTTCCTTCCCAGCTCTTTCAGATGGATGCTTTTATCTCTTCCCAGGACTCAGACCCTTCCTGCCCTCAGGGCTGAGCCAAAACAACCTGCTCCATCCTGTCTCCCTGGACAGCACGAGGTCCTCCCTCCTGTCTACGCCACAGCCCTTTACTCAGACCCCACTGCAGGCACCCACACATCAGCATGCTTAGTGTTCCATTATTTATCTCTGTCTCCTCCATCACGAGATCCTTGGGGTCAGGAATCAATCTTACACATTCTTATAGGGCTCCTAATGCCTGTCAAATGCTCTGTTCATAGTAAAAATTTAATAAATGGTTTTTGCTGAAATCAGAGAAAATACAACAATCCTGAATCAAAGGCACTGCTTTTTAAGAGACATTAAAAACGCAAGGGTGATATTACCGCCAAATTTGTTAGAGCAAACAGAGAGGCTGAATCTCCACTGCTGAGGTTGAGCCACAACATAAAGCCTCACAAAGGGCAGCTGGAGTGAGCAGGTATTGAGATTCTGTGATCTCCCTTAGTCTCCTTTTCAATATTCAAAATGAGCTTGGAGGGGAATTTTTAAGGGGAACAGCAGAATTCACTTGAGACACACAGTTCCTCTCTCCATCCATTATTTCTCTTGCTGACACTGAGAAGCAGCAGTGGGCCCCGTGCCTACCTTTTTCTGGTTTCCGTGGACTTGGCTGTCTTGATGGTGCTCCCGTCCTGAGCGATGTCTCTTTCCTGAGGAGCATCTCTAACGGGCAGGGGGAGGACTACCGTTTCCTGAGTCACAGGGATGACCTCCTCATCTGCCCCTTGCTGGCCCAGGTGCTGCTTGGCATAGTCAAAGCCTTGCACAGGCTGCAAAGAGGACAAAGGTTTGTCATATTTCTAGAGAAAAAATTTTCTAGACAGTCAGCGACATGCATGTGAGGGGGCCCAACTTAGCTTTCTGATGAACCAGAGTTAACTCAAATCCCCATCATTATTCTGTCTTGCAAAACCAGAATCTGTTTTAGTTCTTTCCAGGTACAGAACCTCTACAGAAAAGACTTGCTCAGAAGAAGGAAGAGCGTAAACAAGATGCAAATAGGTATGTGAGAATGAGAATAAACTTCTTCCAGGACTTGAGAACATTTTTTTTTTTTAACTTGGGATTGAAACCAAGGGAACTTTACCACTGAGCTACATCTCCACCACTCTTTATTTTTATTCACTAAATTGCTTTGGGCCTTGCTAAATTGCTGAGGTTGGCCTCAAACTTGTGATTCTGCCTCAGCCTCCCAAGTCTGGCATTAGACCATTCCTTTTAAGTCAAGGATACTCATAATTTGGAACAGTTGTTAATTGATATATTAAAGTATTCCAGATCCTATTATCTCCTGCCTTGAAGTATTTGACTCCCCTTGAACTCTGCTCCCATATAAATTTATTGTGTAATAACAAATGCATGGCTTTTCCAAGTCATTTGGTCTCTGAACGTCCATTTTCTCATGTGAAAAATGAAGGCAATCTTATCTGCTTTGCTTCCACCATCCCCGAGTATCAAAGTGGAACACAAATCTGAAAACAGGGAAACATGGTACCACATGTGATTAATAACAACATGTATCTGAGGGCATCACTCTTTGATCTAGACTCCTCCCTTGAGCAGACTGGCTGTCCTATAATTCATTCCTGGGAAATTAGTAAGGCTTTTATTGTACAATATCTGAAATTCCAAGTGAATAAGACAGTTGAGGGCAAAATCCAACAAGCAGCTATTAGTAGGGTAGTGAAAAATCAGGAAGAATGTTTAAACAATTCCTGCAGCATCTCTATTCCATTTTTTACCCCAATGCAGTATGGTACAGAGTTGAAGCGGGACAGTGTGATGTTGAATGGCAGGTCCAAAAGCAGGCTTCCTGGATTCAGATCCTGACCCAACCACGCATTAGCTGAGTGACCTCAGGTAAGTGACTGACATTCTTTGGCATCAGTTTCTTCACCTGTAACATGGAGATAATAATAGGGATAATAATCCCCATGCCATGAAGATTAAGTAAGTCAAGCTCATCATTTAGCTAAGAGCTTGGCACATAGTAAGTGCTCAATCATTGGTGTTAGTTATGACCATCTACCTTCCTAATAATCATATCCCAGGTGAAGTGAACTTTAGCCATTCTCTTCCAGAAAATCTGGAGATGAAAGTCAACCCCTACCATTTAGAGTCTATCAGAACTTGATATGACCAGGAGCTCCTCCTTTGGCAGCTAACTTGTCTAAGAAGCACACCAGATTTAACAATCCACCGTCTAGAACTGTGGCTGACCTGTCAAACTTCACTACTGTGTCCCAGAACAGGTTGGAGTTTTCTTGCTGCATCCAGCAAAGATTGAGAGAAGACAGGCAGCCACATGCATGTGATAGAGCCCAACTTAGCTTTTTGATGAACCAGAGTTAACTCAAATCCCCGTCATTACCCTGTTTTGCAAAATCAGAATCTGTTTTAGTTCTTCCCAGGTACAGAATCTCTACAGAAAAGACAGAAGGCTGCCCATGGCTTTGCTGTGGACAGTCTCCCCAATTCCCTGGGGAACTCACTCTGGGATGAGTGGTCTCCTTTTCTGAGACACACTTTCTGACCCCTGTGTGACCAGTGGCACTTGGATGCCAGGACCAGATTTGAGTTTCTGAAATGGTATTTGCTAAGGGAAGACTGTGTCCTCCTCCTCCCTCCCCTTTCTGGGTGCTACAGGAAACAGAACCAAAGGAGCCTTTGGGTGTCTTGATGAAGTCCCTAGAATACCAAATCACCTGCTCCTCCCACAACCAACTGGTCATTCAGATTCAACTTCTGGATATTTCTGGAAGCTGTTTCACTGTCTCTGGCCTCCACCTTGTGGCGTCCATTGGACGCCTTTCCACGGTCACCCTTGACAAGTCTCCAAGGCTACCTTAAAACCATATCTGTTCATGTCACTCATTCAATAAAAATGCTTTGTGTCCACCAAGCTCTTTGGCAAGGCATTCAAGGCCCTTCACATTTTGGCCAAATGCACTTGCCCAGTCTTATCTTCTGTTGGCCCCTTTTCTGCCACCCCTCCTTCCCCCCATGATCCTATTCACTTTTGGTCCAACAACACTGGTTCGTGTCAGAGACTCTGCTTAGAGATGGAGATGTAACTGGTTTCTCACCTGAAGAAGCTCATGATTTCAGCCTCATTACTATTACGGGTCCAGGAGTGGACACATCATACAAATCACCTCAATGCAGTCTCAATATAATATAAAAAGATAAGTATTATTGAGTCTCCATTTTATAGATGAAGAAACTGAGGTTTAGAGGAGTTAAGCTCACACAGCTGCTCTGTGATAGAGGCAGCATATAAAAATCCATGTGACCCAGTGTCAGGACATCTACCTGTTGCTTGAAGATTCATCCCAGGGCCCCTCCTTCCCTTCTGCAGGTACCATCTTGGTTGGGCAGCTTCTGGTTGGTCTTTAGGGGCACTGGAAGCCTCCAACAGCTAAGATTTTCCAAGAATCTAGTAATGGAGAGAGGAGGCTATGGTCCTGTCTCCCCACTCTCCCAATTCTCTCTGGATTTGGCCCCTGACCCTTCCCTGGATACTCCAGGTGACTAGTTCAATTACAGGTGTGTGGGAACAGGGACAGTAGGGAACAACGGCTTAAAAGGTGGTCATTGTTATTAGGTTCATCATAAGGATTCTTACCTATGTTCAATATTTACAGCACACAAAATACTGATACCTCATTTTGTCCTCACAATGAACCCATGAGGCAAGCAGGACAAATGTCACAGTCTTAATTTTCCCAGCAGGAATACAAAAGCTCAGAGAGATTCAGTCATTTTCCCAAGATCACACAGGTAAGTGGTGAAAAATGAAGACTCTTTCCTCACTTTTCTGACTCCCAGGGTAATGGTCTTCCAACCTTTAACTTGCACATTACCTAAGATTAATTAATTGCCTATTGGGCTCACCCTAGTGACTCCCAACCTGAGTAATACAACCTCATGAAGTATATACAGTTAATGCAATGAGTTTTATAAAATTGTCAAATAAAAATGATCCCCAATGATTTCAAAGACAGACATATTACCAAGACCTATTAAGAAAAAAGCATGTGCAACAATAAAAACCAACTTGTATGAAATATGTATTACGTACCAGGCAGAGCTCAAAGCAGTTTACATATATTAACCCACTTACTCCCCACAACAACCTATCCATGAATATTGTTACCACCTCCATTTTACAGATTGGAAAATCAAAGCACAAATAGGTTAATTTTAAGTACCTTTCCTGAGTTCATACATAGTATGTAAAAAAAGAGGAAACAGTTGACTTAGGACCCAAATGTTCTGTCCCAAGCAGAAATTCATGTCAACCATTGCCGGCCCTCCGAGCTCCATCCTGCACCAGATATGGCCCTAACTACTTTCTCCCAAGGATGTCTGTTCCAGGGAGCAATGTTCTCTTTAATTATATAAGGAGGAAACTGGGGTTGGCGGGGGTGGGGGAGGTTGTAAATCCAATGACAAAGAATACAGAGAACCAGGAGGAGGGGAGATACAAACATCACCTGCTCGCATTTACCATTTTCTCAACATTCCACCTGCAGAAGCCCAGTTGGTAGCCTGGTGACCAAGGGGAGGTCTAAGTACCTTGTCTCTGAAGAAGAGGTGCAGGATCCACGCACTGGCCTCAGCTCCCAGGAAAACCACGCTCACCTCCTCTGCTTAGCATGTTAAGTTTATTACTGAGTCTCAGGAAGGGTCCCCAGGACTTCTCTGGCACGGCATCCTGCATGCTAAAGACGCAGTGATGTCCCCGGGGCCATCCACCTCGCCTATGGATTGGTGGCAAAGGCTAGCTTTCTCATTCCTCCTTGTCCCTTGGCATGGTTGCATTCTGCTCACACACACACGCGCCGGGTTGTGAGAAGCGATGCAGCCACTCTCTGCTCTCTCAAACACCGCAGTGTCCCTGGCTTGCAACAGCAGCACTGCAGTAAGACAGAAGCAGTTCCACTCTGCTGCTTTCCCATGACAAAGGGGCTTTGGAGATCTTAAGTGCTTCGCCTAGCCTTGTTGAGGGAGAAGAGATTCAGCAGCATCAAACACAAGAGAAAGCAATCAGCTCCAGGGACATAAATTGACTTGGTGTTTGACATCAGCCAGGTACCTTAGGAAGCATGCTGCATGGGACACGCACACCAAAGGAGCTGTGGAAAGCCACAGTCATCTGTCCCAGCTCCAGACAGCTTCCAAGCCAGAAGGGATGCTGCAATCGTGTGTTGCCCAACTCATCTTGGCAGATGAGTAAGGTTTTGGTTTAATCTGCAACACAAAGATGCCACTTCCCACCCCGACGTGGCATGTTTTACATTCCTGGACCCAGCTGCAATTAGATTCTGGTAATTACTGTCACGTCTGAAAGGTTCATGTTGTAACCCAGCTAAGACAGAGTGAAATCCTTCTTCTTGGAACAGTTGGTACCCTCCTTACCAACATCCTGTGGCGGGCGTCTGGCAAGCAGGTGCCTCTGCATCAACAGAAGCAGAACAATATTCTTTGGGGTTCAGCTTTTCAGTGGAAAAGTGTTCAATCAAGCTGCAGCTTCACAACAGGTGTGTGGGTTTAGGAAACAATAAAAAAAAAAAACCCTTGATTTGCTGAAGTGAGGTGTGATTAGGAAGAAAAAGTGAAGGCATGTATGCATGACCCCCAGCAAGGACGGTCACCACGGCCAACTTCCATTCCAATGGATATGAAGCATGAAGGGTGACTGGCCATTTCCACACAGACCAAGCTCGGAGGTTCAGAGCAGGCAGCTAACACTCCCTGCCCATATCAGGGGTCAGGTAGGTATGGCATGTGCAGATGAGGGCTCCAGCCACCCTTATGCTGTTAGCTATATGACTTTGGCCCAACCCCAACGCCTTCCTTTCCCTTGGGCTTCTTGGCAGTTAAATGAGGATAATAAAACCTGCCCCAACTGTGACCTACCTCACAGGGCTGCTGTGAGGAACACATGGGGTGAGAGACCTAGAAGAGCCAGCAAATTGTAAGACATTATTTAAGCACTGGGTGTCACAGTTAGGCTATTTCCCTCAGAGAACATCACGGAGCAGCTACGTGACTAGGAAATCAGCCTTCAGAACTTCCCCAGTCCAGCCCCCTCCCAGTCACCAGATGTGCAGAGATATGCAGGTGACAGAGAGGGGACGGCGCTCCAGGCCAGGCGTCAGGAGAGCCTTGGAACTGATGTTTGATGGGCATCCAGCACTGGCTATGTTCCGTGTCTATCACGGCAGCCACCGAAGAGAAGTCACTCCAGTGGGCGGAACAAGGAACAGTTTGAGAGCTGACGTGCCCCAGAGAGTGACAGTGACAGACACTTCTTTCTCACAGTTCTAGAGGCTGGAAGTCCAGGAGAAGGGGCTAGCATAGCTGGACTCTGGCAAGGGCCCTCTAGCTGGCCACAGAAGCCTACTTCTTGTGTCCTCACATGACAGCAGAGGCAGGGAGAGCTCTAGGACTTCTATTACAAGGGACCTAATCTAATTCCTAGAGGCTCCACCTGCATGACCTAATCATCTCTCAGAGGTCCTTCTACCGACATCACGGCATCGGAGGCTGGATTTCATTGTATAAATACAGGAAACACAAATATTCAGACCACAGCACGTTTGATGCTCCGGTCAGTTCTGCTACTCAAAAAGCATTGAAGGAATTACGTTTCACATGTAAAAGAAGGGAATCTGATTAAATTATCTCTAAAGTCCTTTCAGGTCTCTCTAGTTCCTAGTTTTCTCCGTCTCGGTTTTCTCATCTGTAACATAATGGTCTTTCCTCCAAGCGATGCTGTGAGGATTAGAGAACTGCTATCTGAAAACCGGTTGGATGCATTTGTGGCCAAGAGTGAGCGTCAGATAAACATTAGTTATCCTGTCCTGATTATGAAATAAAGGGTCTCCTTCAAATGAGACGATAGCCAGGCACAGTGACATACTTATGTAATTCCAGCAACTTGGGAGGCTGAGAGAAATGTCGGATATTCAAAGCCAGCCTCAGTAACTTAGCAAGGCCCTAAGCAAATTAGTGAGACCATGTCTCAAAATAAAATAAAAAATAAAAAAGGGTTGAGGATATAGCTCAGTGGTAAGCGCCCCTGGGTTCAATCCCTAGTGCCAAAAACAAATTAAAAAAATAAACAAGGACTATAACAATGGCTCTGAAGACACCTGCAGTGGCCACACAAGCCAAGCGGGAAAGGCAGGCAGAGCCTCTGCAGGCCCGGGCGCCTGTCCTCTCCCCACTGCCTCCACATACCTTTGCTCTCTGCGGCAGGTTTATCATAGTGTCTGGCTTGAAGTCGTTCTTGTTCTTCCTACAGAGCACAGCAGTGATGATGATAATGATGACCGTGACCACGGCGATGGGCGCCAGCACTGCCGCAATGATCCACAGGTTGTTAGGGGGGTTCTTCACCACAGCTGTGGGAGAGAGCCAGCGGGAAGCAGGTGACAAGGAGCCCTGGGAAGAGGGAACCCAGACAGAAATCCTCCCAGCCCCAAGTCAGGAGATGGGAGGAGGCAGCGATTAAGAGGGTTCAAGGTCAGAACGCCTCTGCTTCTGCAGCTGCAGCTGTGTGACCTTGGTCAAGGGACCCAAGTCTTCTGAGTCTCAGTTTCCTCATCTGTAAAATAGGTTAGTGTGATGTTTTCTTGTGCTCCCTGGTAGGTGCTCAATAAATTCTAGCTTCTACTATTATTTAAAAACAGGAGAAAAAAATACGATCAGTGTTGATTTTCCTCAGTGGTCATGTCCAAGGGTCAAAAAGGGAGAAGAAAAAAGAAACCTGAGGATTAGAAGTGTGTGTTGGAGACAGAAGGCAAAAGCCACCAAGAGGGGCTGGAGTTGTGGCTCAGGGGTTGAGTGCTTGCCTAGCACGTGTGAGGCACTGGGTTTGATCCTCAGCACCACATAAAAATAAATACATTTTAAAAAATAAAGGTATTGTGTCCATCTACAACTAAAAATATTTTTTTTAAGAAAAAGCCACCAAGAGATGACTCTAAATATTGAAGGGAAGTCACCCCACGAATGAGCAATGAATAAAATACAACATGAGCAGATGAATCTCCCCTGGAAAACTTAGGAATGGCTCAGTCAATGGAAAGGATCAGCCTGTCCTCAGAACTAGAGTAAGGAAAAAGTAAGCAGAGTGCTTGTCGGGAGGGACAATTAGTGCTGAGAGCAGCAGGTGTCTTTATGGGGCTGGGTGGGAATGAATGAACCTGGGAAGGGCTACAGGGTGATGGTTTTTTTTGTAACATGAGGGCTATTTGGGGGACACGGCTGTGTTTGCCCAAAATCATCAAGTAATGCACTTGAAGATACATACATTTCACTGTATGTAAATTTTTCCTTAAAGCAAGTCACAAATGAATGTTGATCTCTAATCAATGATATGCATACTGAGGTGGACAGAAGTCCCTCATGTTTGGAACTCACTTTGAAATGCATCCCCCAAATACATAGATGGATGGATGGAGGAATAGTTAAACCCATCTATGATAAAAATATTGTAAAATTCTAATTGTGGATTCCAAGCAGTAGGTCCATGGGTGTTTGCTGATAATTCTTCCAATGTTTTGGTAAATTGGTTAGGAAAATGATAGAAACAGGAGATGAAGGAGTCTCCCCCAGAATCACTGATGGGGATTCTTGGAAAACACTTCAGTCCAATCAAAAGGACTAATATGTTTTCAGAACTGAAGTAAAGAAAGCAGTAACTTTAAAAGAAAGTAACAATCTACATCCAAGCACGGTGGAGCATGCCTGTAATCCCAGCAGCTTGGGAAGCTGAGGCAGGAGGATCGCTAGTTCAAAGCCAGTCTCTGCAGCTGTGAGGTGTTAAACAACTCAGTGAGACCCTGTCTCTAAATAAAAATACAAAATAGGGCTGGGGATGTGGCTCAGTGGTCAAGAGCCCCTGAGTTCAATCCCTGGTACCAAAAAAAAAAAAAAGAAGAAGAAGAAGAAGAAGAAAAAGTTTAACAGTCTACAGACTAAATTAATGAAAGGGAGTGGGGTCTGTAGGAATCCAGAGAAAAACTGAAGGGTAGGCAAGGACTTGTTCACCCTGGGGATGTGTCCCATGGCAGATGTGGGTGAGCTGGCCAATGACAGGTCTATCCTAGTGGCAAGATGGCTGATTCAGGGCTGATTCAGCTTGGTGATGCTGACCCTGGGTACCACCCAACAGGTTTTCTAACCAGATAGGGTATCAGCAAGTTAGAAGGAGAAGTCCCATCTCTGTGGTAATTGTATTTCTAGCCCATATTTTAACTCTAGTTTGTATATTCATTTCTTGTAAAGTCTGGTTAGCCTGAGCTGGTCCTCATCCTCCTTGACTCTGAAGACTACTAGACTTTAATGCTCAGGACCTAGACCCTGGAATATAAAGACCCCCCTGGTAAGCACCACGTGGGGAAGGCCTGTCTGAGGAGCCCGCCAGCCTTCCTCTCTGAGTCCAACCACCTCCTGATTTCTGCGGGTTCCTTGTTAACCAAGGAACCTGTCATCTGGCTGCCCTTGGGCTTCAAATACTATTAGTACCAAAGAACTTCTTCGTCTACAGTTTTTAATCAATCAGTGATTAATCACATTATTAACTTCTGAAAACAGCTCATTAGGTAATGTGCTTCTGTTGACATTACACCCTTAATTGCTACTGCTTTTAGCAATTCAGTATTTATATGTGAGTTTTGTGCCATTAACATTTTTTAAAGCTCAGAGCGTCTATGAAAAATATCAATATACTTCTTTTGGCTAGGCTATTTTATCCCGATAGAGAAAAATGTATAGCATACCCCCCCCAATAAAAGCACATATCTACATGGAATAGAATATATATATATTTTTTTTTTTTCCCCATTCACAAGAATGAAATATTTGCATGCTCTGATCTTACTCAGTTTTATTGTCTTGGTGGATGCCATTTTTCTTGGTGCAATATGTAAAATTCCCTCACCTCTATTTCAGTGGGGAAGAGAATAGATTTATCTTATGTGCACTAATAAATTCATTTAATGGTCAAAATGTTAGGTCAACTGAAGTCATCCAAACCCAATATATTCATTGGCACATGATCTGAAGGTACAAAGACATGCACTGAGGTGAAAAGGAACAGTGGTTACTTAAACCGCAAGAATTTCAGGAGAGGACAGAAGGGAAAAGGAGACGCTGGGTTCTGAGTGCTGGGCACAGGGACAGGTCCTTTGTCTGTGAGCTCTTCTTATTCCAGTTTGCAGGTGAGGAAACTGAGCTCAGGGAGGATGGACACTTTGATAGGAAGTCATTTCTCTAAAACAAATAGTTTAAGTTGGTTCTGAATTAACACATATGAACAGAAGTGTGAGCACACATACACACGTGCACACACACACACAGTATTTGTCAGAAGAAATGAAGTCAAAGGGTCTAAATAATCTAAGCACAGAATAGACTATTCTCATGTGGACAGCTGTTGAAAGGCGGAAGAATCCACTCAAAATTGTTCCAGTTCGTTCTTGTGGCCATTCGAGTTCACAGCTGGGTGGGTGGAGGCCGGGGAGACTCTGCCCAGGGACCAGTACTCAGCCCATGTAGTTCTCCTGCTTCGGGTGGCATCTCATCCTACTCAGGGTCCAACCTGTGAGCCTAGTGATTGTGGCCCCATCTGTGCCTCAGACCTCCTAACACCACTCTGCCTCTCAGTGACCTCCTCGCTGAGCTTTGAACCCTCCTCCACTGCTGGAACCTGGTCCCCAGCTGTCCTCAGAGCTGCTCCCTTCCTCCCTCTCTCTCTTCAGTTGGTCTCTCCAGGGTTACTTCCTCCCTGATGTTGTTCTTGACCCCCAACAATTTAAAATTGCAACCAGTATCTCCTCCACATTGCCCATCCCGTCCCTGCCTGCTTTTTCTGTGCAACTAGTCTGCCCATTCAGGAATGTTAGAGCCACCAGCGTAGGGATTTTCTTTTTTTCTGTTCCCTTCACTAACGCTCTACAGTGCCTAGGGCAGTGCCTGCCACATAGTAGGTGCTTAATAAATATTCCTTGAAGGAATGAATAAAAGTGAGTCCTCAACGCTCCACTCTACTGTGTCCTTCAAGTGGCATTTCTGGGAAGATGGTCTGATGGCCACAGAAGTCAAACCACTCTGCATCTCGTGGGGAGAATGTTCCCCATTCCCTTAGCTGCCCAACTGCTTTGAAGAACCCCTCACTCTAGATCTGTAAATGGAGCTGATATCAGCCTGCCCCAGGGAAATCAGCTGCTTCCTAAGAGGTCGAATGCCACCTCCTCTCCAGAGGTGGTGAGGCTCAAGCGGGCATCACAGGTTCCAGTCTTGATGCTGGGACTAGCAATTTAGAAGGCCCTAAAACACAGGATGCTAACCTTCTCTCTTTGGTGGGACAAAGCATTCAAGATTGGGACCCTCTGTTCAGAGACCTGACCTGGGATTAACACTGGAGGCTGATTTCAAATCCATGAGAAGGCAGGGTTTTAAAAAAAGTCTGTCCCTCTTTTTTATTGGACCTATTTTCTTCCTCATCTGCTCCCGGGAATGGAGGCATTTCCCAGACTCTGTCCTCTTCCATCCTTTGGCACCTTCTCCTTTAGCATCCTTCTCCAAGCACCTACATTCTGGGGGAATTCTAATCTTAACTCAGATCTATATACATAGCACAGCCTGACCTCAGAGGTTCTGCACACCTCCCTCTGCTGGAGTCTTATAACCACAGGTCTGTCTTAGGACCCTGCAGAGGGTTTAATGAAGATTGGTGCCTCTACCTTCACGAGAACAAAGTCAGGTGGGAACTGGGCTGGATAGGCCAAGATGGGTGGATTGTGGAACCTGCTTTTAAAGAGCTCAAGAGGGATCAGGTAGAAAACAACTTGGCTGAGTGATAAGCGCTGTGGGAGCCCCTGGGACTGAGGGAGATGGACACTATGTCTCAGGATCAGGGAGGCTTCATGGTGCAGGGAATGTGACAAGAGATATTCCCACATGGCATGGAGAAGGGAGACATGGAGAAGGGAGTCGTGTGGCTGGACAAGGAGCCCAAAAGCAGGTTGGGAGGAGACCTGAGCACTTGAGACTTGCTGTGAAGGCCCTTCTGAAGGAGTTTGGGTTCCATTCTGTGAATGATGGACAGCCACTGCTTGTGAATGGAGCAGATATCAGATCGGAATCCGCGTCTTACCACAATGACTGTAGTGGCGGTGTGGAAGGTGCATGCCCAGGAGAGTGACAGGCTGTCACTCAGGAAGCTGCTGCCACAGGCTGAGCAGGAAGGATTGAGGGAATGGAGAAAAGGAAGTGGACTCGCAAGTTACTGGAGAAGGGAGCTGAGAGGACTGAGTGGGTTTGAAGGGGACAGAGGAGCAGTAAAAGGGAAGCAGCCTGGAGCTGGGCAGGCTGGGGTCTGAAATCCGAGCCACAGTCAAGCCCTCCCCACCCAGGCTCACGTCCAAAGGCTCCATGCACCTAACCTGATATGCCCTCCCTCTCCAACCCCTGCTCTTAGCTCCTTCCACTGTCCTCATCAACTGTCATCAGCAAAGTCCCCTGAGCCTCAGCCTCTTCCTGGACACATCTTCTCCTCTTGCCTTCAGTGAGGCCAGTTCTTCATCTCTTCCAGGTACCAGAGGCCCGAAGCAGAAATGAGGGGGTCTCAGACCCATAGGCTAAAGGAGTAGATGAACTGGGACGGGAGAAGTGATGGACAGGACGAGGAGGGGTGTCCTGGAAACCTATGTCATCGTGCTGGCCAGCTTGCTCTTCTTGCTCAAGCGTCCCACACAGCCTCTACCTCAGCTGCCGACTCCATTCAGTATGCCCCAAGAGAGCAGAAATGATCAGAGAATGTGTCCCCAGGCTCCCGTTACCAAACACACGTGTACTCGGCTCTCTCTCTCATTACAAAAGGATGAGCTGTCCCTGTGGACCCCTCTACCCTCTACCAGTGAGCTAGATCCCAGCCCCTTATCCACACAAGGACTTTGCTGGTTCAACCCTCCTCTCTCTCCTGCATTGTCAAAATCTCCCTCTCTATTACAGCACCCCCACTAATATCCAAACTCACACCAGCATTTCCCAGGGGCCCCTCCAACAACTGCCCCATTCATTTCCCTATTTGTCATCACTACTTCCCTATCACAGTGCTCCTGGGCCAGCCTCATCCCAGACACCTCTCCTGCCAAGATCACCAACAGTTCTTCATTGTGCCTTGCCTCTAGAGGATATAAATGGACAAGCCCCCCACCCCACTTCTGTGAGATTCACTTTCTTGGCTTGCATTCTGAACCCCTCTTTCCTGGGTGTCCTCCCAGCCCCCTGCCACTCTTCCACACGCAGACTCCACAAGATCAAGTTTCATCCTTTTTTCTCAAGCTAGACTCTCCCAGTTACCCTCACCTACTCCCTTAGCTCTAAATGTCACCTGTATATTGACGATGCCCAAATTTACCTCTCCTAAGTTCCATGCGGATGTCTAGTAGACGTCTCAAACCTGACGTGCCTAAAACCAAACTCTCAGTTCCATCTCTCCCATTCCCACTCCAGCCCCGCTGAGGCTCTTTGTCCCACACCTTCTGCATCTGGCCAAACAGCCTCACAACACACGCTGAAGGCAACACTAGGAGTCACCCTGACGTCCTTTGATCCCCACCTCCTCCTGCTGCCACACAGGGAATCCACTACTCTGCCCCAACAGCTCCATACCCCACTTCCCAAATGCATCCACTCCTTTAGTCTCTACTTCTAGCACCTTCACCTGTCTCCTGGCACCTGAAATGGCTTTTGCACCTGTTCTCTATGGCTTATTCTCCACCTAGAGAGAGAGAGAGCTGTGAGCAGAGCCTGGGAATCCACACAGAAGGTGCAGCAAAATAGAGAAAGCAGGTAGTTGACCAGAGATGAAGACAGAGCCCACAAAAAGGAAGGGGAGAGGTGCAAAGGAAAAGAATCTTGTTCCAAATGTCATTTCAAAAACCAGATTGCAGAGCGACCATCCTCATCCTACACGAAGGTGTGCCTTGAGGATTATTCTGGCCAAGCATGACAATCGTGGGCAGCACCATCCCCCTGGAAGCAAAAGTCATCCCCAATGAAGGATGGAGGTGAGAAGGAGAGGAAAATAATGAGGCAGGTGACCGGTTCTTGAGGAGCACGGACACCGGCTAGGAAACCCGTGGGAGATGACCTTCCATGACCTTCCATGCTCAGGGTTGCCAAGCCCTGAGATTTCTGCCACATGCAATCTCTCACCTTCCTACCTGTCCTGTTTCATTATAGCACTTGTTTGGGTCCCCAGTGCCTGAGACACCAGGGAACCTCCTCACTGATCCTGCCACCTGCTGCCACCTCCTGTCTTCTCCCATCCTGGACACTGCCGACCAATTAACCTCCATAAGTAAAGGGTTGTTCCAAGGAGGTTACACCCCTGCTCAGAAATCTTCAAAAGCTCCACACAGCCCAATATACACCATCTCCTTCCTCTGCCATTCAAGGCCTGAGTTTTCCAATCAACACACCTTTCCAAATCCATCAATTCCCCCACCTGTTTCTCCCCGCTCCCCCAGGCCACCTGAATCCCTTGTGTTTCAAGTTCAGCTGGTACTTTTCCTCTGCATTCTTTTGCCCACGGTGTTCTCCTTTCAGAATACACAGTCCCTCCTCTCCCTGTGCTGAGCTCTTGGAGTGCAGTAAGATAAGAACAGGTTTGAAGTCAGGATGATCCAGATCTGTATTTGGGGTACCTAAGTCCTGGCTCTGTGATGCTGAGCAGGTTATTTGGCTTTTCAGAGCCTCAGTTTCCTCTCCTTTGCAGATGAATAAACATTGCCCCGATGAGAGTAGAAGGCAAGGGAATCTAGGTAATTAGCAGAGTAGCTGCCACAGGGAGGGGCTCAAAGAGGTGGCTATTGTTTTATCCTTTTCTCTTTTGCTTAATTTCAGATGCCCCCTCAAAGCCAACCTTCCCTCTGTTGACCCCCATGTCACACTGTCTCGTCCAGGTCCCATCCTGCATTAGACATCTCTGGACCTGCATGAACTCCCTGGCTCCTTAAGGGCAGGAACCAGGTCTTGCCCATTTCTGTATGTCCTTCAGCACTCAGCTCAGTTCATGCAGGACTCTATATAAATGTTTGTTGAATAAAATTATCTTTAATTCCTCCAGCACACACATGTAATCTCAGTTGTAGTGATTTTTCAAAGCTGTTCACTAGTTATACGAGGAGGAAGAGTAAGCAGCACTTGGGGGCAGAGAGAGAACATTTCCATCATTTGGATATTACAAAACACGTCCCTTACCCAAAAACCTATTGCTTTAAACAACACAGTTAATATCGCTGATTGATTTAAGAACCTTCCAGACAGGGATGTGGGTGTGGCTCAGTGGCAGCACTAACATGTTCGAGGTGCTGGGATGGATCCCTAGCACCCCCTTCCACCACACACACACACACACACACACATACACGCATGCACACAAGAACCTTCCAGAACAGAAATACGTTTAGCTCTGACACCATTAAAATGAATTTTGAGAATTACTTTGACTCACAGAAAACACTGAACGGCATTAAAAACACTGAATGAGAGGACATTTCTCTTACGGTCAGCTTGCAGAAGGACAACATGATGCAGGGTCAAGGCCATCCTTTGGGAGTCAATGGTGCTCAGGATCTTGGCAGCTGCGGTCCCCAGCAGTGGCTTCCCGTTGTACAGGGTGTAGTAAGTCAGCTCTGCTGGGTCCTTTGGTCCTGGAACACGCTGCATCTTTACCATCTTTCAGAAAAAGAGAGGCCATGTGTTTACAGGGCATCTTGCAAGGCTCCTGCAGGCCCCCGGGCGGTCAGCAGGCTGAGTGGCCCCACACCCTACATGTTACACAGCCACCTTTGTTACCTCCCCGCAGCCAGCACCTCAAGAAGTCTGCTAACGCAGGAGCGGGAGACTGGGAGAAGAAGGAAGATGTGAACATCTGGAAAGAACAGTTTGAAGCTGGAGATGAAAACATGCGATAGTGATGTTTCCCAGCCCCCACAGAGCTCTGGCCTCATTAGAAAGTAGGACTTCACGTTAATTCAGGGCACGCTAGGTTGTTCTCAGACAAGATTTTTAATTTCAAATATCTGCAATTGCCAGAAAGAAAAAAAAAATGACCTGTAGGTCTGCATTCCAAGCTATCTTTGATAAAAGCAATTCTTGACAACACTAAATTCATTTTCTAAAATGATATTTTTTTTGCTTTTCTTTACTATGAAAGTGATGCATACTCAATATAGAAAAATTTGAAAATATGGAAAAAGCATTAATGAGTGTCATAAAAATGATCTATAATCCCTCCTCTACCCACTAATTACTGTGATCATTTTGGAGTATTTGCTTCTAGTTTTTATTTCCACACAAACCTTTTCTGTGTTATTTTACAAATTATTTATCATACTCCCTATATCATGTACCACTATGTGTTACTTCCATTATTAGTGACATGAAATATTTCAAGAACTTACATGTTTATTTCTGCATGGCATCTTGAATGCCTAACTCATAAACTTATTTCACAAATCCCTTATTATTAATAATTTAGATAGTTATTACTTTTCTATTCATGTAATTAGCAATTGATAATCATAAGTACAGAAACATGAATTTTAATGCCTGTATAATGTTCTACTGTATGCATGCCTGGTAAACTTAACTAACCATTTATTAGTGCACATTTAGGTTATTAACTTCTGCCCAGATAACTAACGATGGATAAACATTAAACTGAAGCATAGTATTTTCCAAAGTACATACTATATATCTGGAATTTTGTAAAGTATTAAAAGATATTGCAAAATGCTCAGAGCAGCTTTCATCATAATAGTGAACACACTGAAAATTCAAAAATCACTAGTAGACTAGATAAATGAGTTATGGTAGAGCAATTCTAATGAAATACTATAGATCAGTGAAAATGAATGAACTGTGGCTATTGGCATCAATGTAGATGAATATAGAAGCCTGATATTGGGTGACAGAGACAAATCCTCAGAACATAAAATTCAAAACAGGCAAACCGCATGATACACTATTTAAAGATACACACATAGATGGTAAAATCTACACAGAAAATACAGTAATAATTTAATATGGAATCCAGAATCATGCTTTACTCCAATAGGAGGGAAAAGAGTATCATCAAAGACACATAAAACCCTTCTGGAGTAAGAAATGGTAATGATCTGACCCTTTGGGTTCTAACTTCTTTTCACTAGTATACTTTAAACTCTGATATTTTTTACATTCTTCTGAACATAGACTCTATATAAAGATTCAAAAATGGACGTTATTACAGCCCAATAAAAATGGGCAAAAACATCTGATCTGACACTTCTCAAAGGAAGATATCTGAATACCCAATAAGCACATAAAAATGCTCAATGGGGAAATTAAAATTAAAAGTATGAAACACTACTATCTACCTACTAGGATGGCTAAAATAAGGACTGACAATACCAAGTGTTGATGAACATATGAAGCAACTGGAACTCCATGCCTGGTTGGCAGGTATGTAAAATAGTACCACCATTTTGGAAAAAGGTCTGGTAGTTTCTTATAGAACTACTGTATAACAAACCCCGTGAACCATAAATTCCATTCCTGTTAATCCAAGTGAAATGAAAATCTGTGACCACAACAAATGTATAGAAGAACATTAGCAATAACCTCATTTAATAGCTACAAACTAGAAAAAGACCAGGTATCTATCAACAAAAGAACATATAAGCAATGGTATTACATTCACACAAGAGAATATGTTTCAGCTATTCTCAGCTACTGGAATCAATGTAGATGAATATAGAAGCCTGATATTACAACATGTGTAAATGTTAAAAAGTGACCTTCCTTCATGAACCCAGAGATTTAGATAACTAGAATTTAAAGGTATTCCTCTAGTTTATTTGATATTGCAACATGTATAAATCTCAAAAACAGTATATAATACTCAGTCAAAAAAGTTTTATACAAGAGTAATACACTATAAAATTCCATATATATAAAACGCAAGAACTTCAAAACCAATCTGTGATTTGGATTTATAGAAACATGTGTGTTGTGGAAAGTATGTGGAAGTATATGGAAACGATATATGTTATCAAATATAAAATGGAAACAGTATAAGGTTAATCATAGAACCTCTATAATGAGTATAGGAGTATTCACTGTATAATTTTTTCAATTATATTGCTGTGAGTTTGAAAAAGAGTTCATAAAACAGATATTATGCAAAATGAGGGTTTTACTGACACTTTAAATTTGGAAATCAGTATGTTGAACAGAATTAAGGAGATTAAAGAGATTCCCCCTTTTTTTAAGAGTTTGGGAATGCAAATATCAAGAAGGAGTTATAAGATGAAGTCTTGCAGTGTTGCTCAAACCAATCTGGCTAACGAGCCCCTCTGCCTCTATTTAGCTTACAGAACTATTTTCTAGATATTCCCTGGAAAACATTGCCCTCACTTTTTTGTCTTTGTGTTCACCTTTACCTTCTTGAGATAAATTTCTGGGAGTTAGCTAAAGACATCTAGAAGTCTGTGACTCATTTGCCTCCAGAAATTTCATACCAGTTTCTCTGTGTGGAAGTGCCCATGTCACCGTGTCCTCACCAATTCTGGATAGGACATTTTACTAACCTTTTGTAGATAAGAATGACATCTAAATGGTAGTTAAGGCCTGCGTGACTTTGATTACAAAGATTTTCAGAACCAAACATTTAAAAGTGTTTACAGGTTATATGGTTTCTTCTTAGGATCCAATTTTCCAAATATATGAACTAGAGGAATACCTTTAAATTCTAGATATCTAAATCTCCATGTTCATGAAGGAAGGTCATCTTTTAAAATTCTCTGAGCACAGAAGAAAGGCCTCTGAGTTGGATGATTGAAGCAATTTAGAGTAAATGCTGGGAGGGAAACTTGGGCATGCTTTTCCTTTCCCGATAGGTGGAGAAGTTAGTGCAACCACGTAGAGGTGAATGATCATTCAGATATCTATGAACGTCACTCAATTTCAAGTTAATAGCAGATTCTTCTACCCAGGGTTTGGGGGTGATGTCAGAGGGCAATCCTCAGCCTCTGTGTAGCTGGATCTGCAGAAACAAACCCCTACTTGCCTCACACTGACTTCGTGGGCAGCTATAGGATCAAGGGCACTGGGCACTTGAGAACAGTGAGAGAAAACACCTCTGGAGCCCTTCTAGACATGCAGAATGTGTTAGGTTTCTTAGGATTACAAATGACACCAGGACTGTTGTGTGGTCCTTTTCTCCCCCTTTGGCTGATACAAATCCCCCTGCACAGACATCCGACCTCCTGTCTGCCATCTGGAGAAGTGTGGATTATAGGGCTTATTCTATGGAACCTACAGAGGGAAAATCACAAACCCAGCATGTGAAATTAACTGTCCCTTTACTTTGTGATGAGGTCGTCACAGACCACAAAGATTTTCAGAACCAAAGCAGCAACCAGTAAGACAAGGGGCCAGATTCCCAACTCTGAATAAAGGAACGTGGCGTGGTGTCAGGGGCATGATGCTGACTCACGCAGGGAGAGAAGATGGGTTGCTTAACTTTTATGCTTGCATGGGGATGTGATCTGCAGACAGACTGTGATGGTGTCTGCAATTTCCTTCAAGACTTTCCTCATTGTGTGACACTAGGCAAGTGGGCTAGATGAGGTCAATTATCAATCGGGAGGTCACCTGCCAGGGGCAGCCTGCTAGATTCCAATTAGGGAGGCCCACGTGTATAGAGGCACTTCTATAATTTGATATCATGCTCAGCATAATAATTTTAGTTAATTAGCATAACAGATGTTAGAAATGGGTTCTCATTGGTGAAGTCAGGAGTATTCAAAATATGTGGATGGGTTAGAATATGCTAGAGACACTCCCACTCCTGTGGGAACTGGGTATCTAGGGAGGCTTAGAAACATTGCCCTTGGGCATGGCTACTGCCTTGAGCAGACCCCACAGAGAGGTGCAGGAAACTGACAGGAGGGTGAAGAGGTGATACACGGATGGGGAAAAGAGTCCATGACACAGTGGGTGACTAAAGCTTTCTTCTGTGGGAAAACTCTGGAAATGTTCTTAAAGAAACATTTCAGAATTCCCCTCGCTAAGAGGTGAGGGAGCTGGGGTACGTGTACTCCCACCACTGTCTAATTCCCACGCACTTCAGCCATCATGGCCTGGGCAGGCGGGTTCCAGCATCCCAAGTGCATCCCTGCAGTGAAGTTCCGAGGCGGGCTGTTGAAATTCCGGCAGGCATACTTACTGATGGTAAGAGGGTGTGAGAGCAACCCGAGAGCCTGCTCCATGTCTTGCCTAAATCACTCTGTGCTCAAGTCTTCACTGTAAGTTTGGTGGGTTCTATTTTTTAATTGACTAATATAGACGATGAAATTTCATTTCAGAAATATCTCCATGTATGCAGACTTTGTTCTGAGATCTCCTTCCCTCATAACCTAGCTATTCGACAATGTAGGAGGATGTTTATGAGCCTCAACTCCCCCAAACCTCAGAGTAAATGGCTCAGCTGGTGGCAGCGTGGATGTCCTCTGTACAGCCCAGGAAACACGGTCCCTCACAGTTCTCCCACACCTACCTGCACAGTATAGCTTCCCAGGGTGGTAGCCCGTTTAAACCGCCGGCCTTGTTGCTGGGACATCATGAAGAGCTGGGCCAGGCGTTGCTCCATAACCCGGGCAAAACTCTGGTTGTAGAGGCCCACCAGCGAGTTGTCCACGCCCTGCAGCACTGTGGAGGCACAAGGCAGAGGGGGTGCTCAGAGGACAGACGCCCTGCTGACTTGGGGACCACAACCACCATCCGCCCTAGACAGCCCTAAGGGTCACTCTGCTCTACCTCATCCTTACCTCACTTCACCCTCACAGCAGCCCAGGAGCTGGGAATCACAGTCCACCTCTTATAGATGTTGAAAAGTTTAATTGACTTGTCTAAGTCTGCACGGCTTGTAACTAGCAGAGCCGGGGTTTAGACCCTGACTCCAAATCCTGGGCTCTTTCCTCCAGGAGCAGTGACCTCTCTTACAGGGCTCTATCAAACCCAGACTTCATTTAAGATGACATGTGTTGCTAAGAGTCCCCCATATGTGAACACATCAGATCTGCAGGTCAGCGACTTGGGTTGGGGGCTGGTTCTTACTCAGAAGCCCTGGCTCAGGGCTACCTTGATGTTTTCTCTCCCTACAGCTTTGCTGAGGAATCTCAACTCCATCCTGCAACTCAGCCCCTGACATCTGGGCAAACCGCACATTCAGTATCCCCATCTCTCTCTCTTCTGCAGAGTCTTGTTGATACCTGCCCCTACAGCTACCTAGAGTCTCCCAGGTCCTCTCCCAGCTAAAGAGTAGGACAGCTTAATGGAAAGAATAAACTCTCTATACTGGCTCTTGCCAGTTGTGGGGCCCTTGGCAAGCCACTGGCCATCTCTGGGTCCAAGTTTTTCTCTTTAAAAATGGAATAAAAAAGTGTACATTTCCAGTGAACATATTCCTAGTGGACTCTGAGGTTTAAAAAAACAGGATTTTTTTTTTTTTAAGGTGGGTTCCTTCGTCCATGGCTAGGTTTTGGTAATGCCCAGTATCTATAATCAACATGTAGGTGTTGACAGGGGAGTTCCAGGTCATGGGTAGTACATGGAGGGGGTGTTAATAAGCATTAGGGCTGGGGCTGGGGTTGTGGCTCAGCGGTAGAGCACTTGCCTAGCACGTTTGAGGCACTGGGTTCCATCCTCAGCATCACATAAAAATAAATAAATAAATTAATTAATTAAGTTATTAAAAAATAAACACTAAGCCATTCTAGGATTGTTGAGGCCACTCCCCCAGTCTAGTCTTTGCTCCATGTCCCTTTGGAAGCACACTTCACCTCGGATGAACTATTGCAGCCTTCAAACAGTCACACCAAAACTTCTAAGTACTAAAAATACGATCACTTTCTTAAAGAGACCAAAACTGACAAGGGCTGGGAATGTAACAGAAGAGCTTCATTTAGCAGAGTTCATTTGACCACAGTGTGGCCATGCACGGTTAACACCGCCCGTCCACCAAGGTACGGAAATAGCTTGTATATAAAAAGGGTGTTGTCATTATGGCACCCAGGACAGCAGGGTGCTGCCAGGGGCCACCCCAAGGACCACATCCTACACGGGGCCAGACAACACAGTCAACCACAACAACACACACAATAACAAGATGTAGAGCATGAAGCTGCAAGGGATCAAGAGAGAAATAAACCCGCAGCTAGGTCTCCAAAATTACTTCTTTGAAACCATAAATGCCAAATAATCCTCCCGGAGGGTGCACAGCAGCTCTCTTTTAGGGCCCTTGTGAGGAGACTCCAGCTCATCTGTCAGCTGAATTCTTGCACAGGCAAAACTGCTACGCTGTGTGATTGAGGGCCCCAAAAGGACTCTCAGGATTCCTTGGGTGCTTCCTACCTGGGGGATGGGAACTTTCTGGTTCAAAGACAGTTCATCTAGTAAAATCACAGATCAAACTGCTGGAGTCTTACTCCTACGTTGGCCTCCCTTGATCAGTGGATGAGAGTGAGAGAGGGGACCCCTTTTGGATTATTTATGGAACTTTCAGCCAAGACTCAAAGGCAATAAATTAAATAAAGGCAATAGTCGAAGACCCCAAGGTGATGACAAAGGTCCGAGAAATGGATACTGTGATGTCTGTACATACTGAATATTTCTTATGCCACTGAATTATACACTTAAAGAGGTTAAAATAGTTATTTTATGTTACAAGTATTTTATACTAAAAAATTGGAAATGTCTCCAGGGAGCACAGGAGGCTGTGGGAGCCACCCGCAGAGGTACAGGAGTCAACACCTGGACGGTTCCCACATGGTTCATTCCAGCTCCCCTAAAAAAGAACAGGTTCTTCTTGGGGGAGCAGCTGAGGAGGGCTGAGGAGTTGCATGCAGAGGCTTGAGTTTGAGTCCTGGCTCCCTCTTCCTGAGTGTTCTTGGGTATGTCACTTGGTTCCTCTGGGCCTTAGTTCCTCATCTGAACACCTTATGATTGAATCTTTGTGAAGAGCAGATGATTCTTCTAACGCAGTGCTGTAAGGCACTTGCCTGCGTGTGAATAAATGGTAGCTATTGCCTTTGTCACAATGGGCCCCTTCTCATTATTACAGGAAGAAATAAAGTGAGAAGACTGGAACTATGTGGCTCCTCTCCCTTCCCCTGAGGAGTGTGGCAGGCCTGGGGCCTCTGGGCCTCTCCGTCCACCCTGTAGGCAGTGGTAATGGAGGTGCGCCCACCTTTCTCAGGGTGACACAGAAACTCAGACACCTCAGCACCTCTGCCAGACCCCTGGCCACCCACCTCAGCCCCCACCACTGACTCAGCCTAGGGCAGGCAGACAGGTCCCTCCCTATGTTCAAAGAAACTCCATCCAGAAGATTCCATGACTTTCACATCATTGTTCTCTTACTCCTTTATTTACAATCATACCAGGCTCTAAGATTCACACAACCAGGCCCAGTTCAGCCTCCTGTGCTCAAGTTGAATTGTTTTATTTGTGGTTGAACAAAGATTCTTCATGCTCAGCTGAGACCTCTCCCTCATCCTCAAGGTGAGAGTGTGCAGCACAGAGGGCCTGGGTGACTTGTTCAAGGACACCAGGGTAACTAAGAGCAGAATTGGAGAACTGATCCATCCCTTTCTGGGTCTTGTTCATTTTGCTTCTGGAGTGAATTAAAGAGATGAATCAGCCTGAGATGGGATCTTACTTCTGTTAGGCAGCAATATCGAGCTGGATTTTTCTATTTTGCCTCATATATACAAACCCAGTTTGGGTCCCTGGAGGGCAGAGTAGCCCCTGTGTTCTCTGTAAAGGAACTGCAGGGTCATCCTAAGCCAATGACTTTCCATCAAGTAGGGATTCACCCTCTGGGAGAGAAGTGTACAGTGTGCAAAGACATATTCAATATAAGTTTAGTTGGAAAACATGTCAGGGTTTTAAAATATAAACCACAGAAAGGGGAGTTGCAGCTATTAGCATCAGTGGAAGACACGGCACCTATAATGCCCTGGAGGAAAGGCTAAAAAGTTCTCTCATCTTTCAGCTCCCTGTCTCCTTACCCCTTCTGTTGGTGATGAGCAGATTGGAGGTGGACACCCAGGTATTCAGAAAGTGGTCCTGGGTGGAAGGAAAGGCAGAAGGCCAGGCTGAAACCAAGCTCCAGCCCCTCCCAAGCACAAACCAACTGATCCAACCAGCCCCAAACACAGTGATGGTGGCAGCTCTATTCTGATCACCAACTGCAAAAATAGCAAAAAGGAAAGAGGGTCGTCTCATAGTGGGTGGGCAGGGGGATAACCCAGGAGAGCCCTGGAAGCAGGACACTGGTGGTGGTGGTGGGGCTTCCTCTTAATGTTATGGCACTCAAATCAAGGCAGAGCAAACACAGCGAGAGGAGGAAAGGGTGATGCAGGTGGCTGTCAAGGACAGGCCGTGTTCAAGAGTGGCTGCATTATCACCCAAGGCAAACCTTCAAGTTCAGAGAAGGGGGAAATAGCTGTCAATGAAAAGGCACCAGTCCTTGAGGAGGAAACACAGTTTTGCAAATGTTGCATAACCTCCTGGTTCCAAAACTGTGTCGATGGGTTGCACTGTCTCTCTCGTGGGCATAAACCCTGATAGGTGGGTTTTTAATTTTCTTTTAAAACATGTTTTTTTTTAGTTTGCCTTCTATATTACCAGGTGAAATTATCTGTATATTGAAGGCTCTGTGTGCGTGGTGGGGAGAATTTTCTGAAGTTTAGAAGAGGTCTTGAGTAGGCCACATCTAGCAGGGGCAGGTGCCCCTTAGCTGGTATTTTAGGCACAGCCCAACTGCAGCTAGTGTGGGACAATAGTGTGCATGGGACGTTTGAGACCAGCCTCCTCCCCCAGACGTGGCTTCCAAGCCTTGTAGGAAATTCTCCCCTCCTTGAAATGGGCTGAACTGTGTTCCCCAAATTCACATGTTGAAGTCCAAACCCCAGGTACCTCAGAATGCAATGGCACCTGGAGAGAAAGTCTTTAAAGAGGTAATGAGGTTAAAATGAGGTCATGAGGGTGGGCCCTAACCCAACATGTCTGGTGTCCTTATATGAAGAGGAAATTAGGTCACCGGCAGAGGGAAAACCAAGGCCTCAAAAGAAACCATAGCTGCCAACATGGATCTCAGACTTGGAGCCCACAGAACTGTGAGACAGCAAACTCCTGCTGTCTAAGCCCCCAGCCTGCGGTGCTTTGCCATGGCAGCCGCGGCACACCCAGATTCTTCTCTCCACACTTCTCCCCTGGATGATTGGGCTGGTCACTCTACCTCCTACAAACATCTGCTCTCTCCCTTTGCTCTCAATTCTTGTTTCCCTCATTTTCAGAAGGCACTGTCTGGCTTTTGAAAAACATAAATGGAACATTTTGGCTGTTTCATAAAGTTCAGCTGCAAAATGTCAAGGTTAAAAAAAAAAAAAAAAGGACACACCACCCAAACACCCTGGTGCTTCTACCCGCCCTCACTGTCAGAGTGTGCCAGGACGGGTGTGGGGTGGGACTCCCACTGGGCAGGAGGAGCATCCAGCCTTCCTCTGATTTTATTTTAGGTTTTACAAGGCAGTGCAGAAAGAACTACCATCTATACACACAGGGCCATCCACAAGGACGTGTCCTAGGCATCCACAGGGTAACTTCTGATAGGTGGAGTTTTTGCAAAGAGGAAGCACTGGGGTTGGAGGGGGGGGGGGGGCTTCCAAAGTAACAGTTTTAAAATGTTCAATAACCACCATCAGTGTGCCGGCTTTCCTTGGCTTGTTTCCACACACTTCTGGTCCTGTAGAAATAACTCCTTGACATATAAGACAGAACCCAAAAAAGACCAATCCTTTCACTGACTGGCAAAAAGTGTTAACCAAACCAACCCCCACAGCATGAAGAGGGGAAGTACAGAATGAGAGATTACCTGTAATCACCCAGTAGTCTCTAGTTGTTTCTGATGTATCAAGATTGGGATATTCCAGTGCTAAAACCAACAAGAAACACATTGAATTACTTTTATAGGTTTTACATGTAAATATAAAACAGAGAACTGACTTGCTGTTTAGAAAATGAAAAGTCTCTGTTAAAGGTGAACTTTCCTATAAAAAGTGTTTAGGGCTTGTTGAGTTTCTGCTCTTTCAGGTTTTCCATCCAAACTCTCTCCAGTGGAAAGTCTTCATTATCAAGAGCCGCAGCTGCCACCTGGGTTAGCTGGTGTTTGCTCTTTAAAAACCATCCAGCCACCAACAAAGTCATCAGGAACTGTTATATCTTGAATGGATTTTTTTTCCGGATGCCAAGAACTTACATTGTAGCCAAATGCTTGTAACAAAAGTTCTCCTGCTACTTTACCAGTATCATGACTATCAGAGTTAACAGGTGGAAAGGAATCAGTACAGTGTCTGGTATGTAGTTCGTGCTCAATAAATCTCAGCTGTGGTTTTATGAGAATATAAAAAGAATGAGAGAAAGCAAATTTGCACGTGATTCCATGTGACAGAATGTCACCTTTTACATCATCTTTTCCCATAAAAGGCATCTTTCCTTGCAGAAGCTTACCAAATATATATAAGTACATCACCTACACATTATCTCATTTATTTATAGCCTCAGAAACAACAGTAGAAGGAACTTCTGAAACAATTTATGTGTTTACGGAAAAACTTGCCCACTGACCCTGTGAAACGTAAGAGTGATTTAAATTTAGGAATACAAACCTTTATTTCCTTTAACTCCTGAGTAAGTGTTCTGGTACAGAATGTAGGCTGCATTGTTGTTGATGCCTGCTGCATGGTAATGAGGATTACGTAACTGAAGAATTAAGGGAGGTGAGGCCACAGACTATGGGGATTTCATCAAGTGAAGTCACAACGTTGACTACAAATGGGCTGCATTATGATATCTATAGACAGGGCAGGGCCTGAAGTTCCGGGAACATTTGTTAATGGCAGAAGTGGGAGAAATGCCTAGAAACCTAGTTTGCTCAAGGACAGCTGTCCTTGCAGGCAGTACGATAAAGTCAGAAGGCAGACTGCCAGGGTTCAAACCCAGGTGACAGCTCTCACCAGCTATGGGAGAGTAGGTATCTTGTGAGACTTCTTGGAACTTCAGTTTCTTCTTCTAATTTTCCACTGGCCTTGTAGGATGGTTGTGAAAATTCAGTGAAACAAGAGACTTGTGCAACATACTTTTCATCAATTCAGACTCCACTTATTGCACGTTTGGGTGGTTATTTTATGACAGTAAGGATAGCAAGTGACCCGGCACATGAGAGGTTTGTGGAATGGAGAAAGGCTCTAGGAAGCAACAGAGCCCCTGGAGGCGACGTGATGTACTCACGTTCAGCAATGGTGAGCGGCGGGTAGGTGAGGTAGAATCCCACCAGCTCGGCCGAGAGCTGGCTCAGGAGACTGCTGGCCACTGTGCCATTGAGGAATGTGCTCTGATTGCCCACGACGTACACCAAGGTGACGGCCTGCGAGGCGTTGGACGTGCTCACAATCTGAATTGACACAGGAGGAAAGGGAAGGGAGACGTGCAGATAAGATGAGGGTCTGTTTCCAGGAGGCCGTGGAGGGGGAGTTTAAGCAGAAGGTCAGGGTAGGAATGAGAGGGAGGAGGGAAAACAGCAAGAAGAGACAAGAATAACAACCATCATCGACAGTGATTGCTGGCTGCACGCCGGGCATTGTGCTGAGGGCGCATCGGTTCCTTTCATCCTCACCACAACCTTACAGATGAGGAAACCGAGGCCCAGAATGGTCAAGGGATTTGCCTGGGGTCCCACAGCTCAAAAGCGACAAAGTCAAGATTCAAACCCAGGAAGTCTGACTTCAGACTCTTAACCAGTATGGTTATCTTTCCTGGGGGCTAATTTGTCTCATTTATGAGAAATTGACTTTTATGATTCTGGAAATATAAAGCAGACAATAAGAATGTTAAATATAAGGAAGACACAACTGCTCAGACAGGGAAAGCTGGAGCCAAATTTGTAGAGTTTTAAGTCTGAAAGGACCAGGAAGGTACGGTGTTACAGAGCAGGTCACCAACTTTATCATGGCACAACAGACTTGATTCAGAATTGAGAGCAATTACATCTCCTTGTGATCTACTAATTCAATATCGAACATTTTTAAAATCCTGAGATGACATGGTTTTCTTTTCATATTTTGTCCAATTCAGTTTTTTGGTTGTTGGAAAATGAACTTTTCTAGGTCAATGTATGGACAAAAATATCCCCAGATGAGATTTGAAAAACACACGCAGGGGAAGTCGTTCGACTCGCTGAGACATTTTTTTGCTAGGTTCTGTGCAGTCCCTCCCCCTCCAGATCCAATTTTGCTACCCATCTGTCTGTCCTGCTCATGTCCCCAGGGCAGACCCTTGTGGACCACCTCATGGGCTCCTGTGCCTGCTAGCTTCAGCTAATGGGGGCTTGGGCAGATATGCCAGAGAGGTCAGCAAGGGAGATCAGGGTGCCCATCAATCCGCTGTGACTGCTGCCCCTCCTTGTGCCCTCAGGGCCCAACAGTATAGCCTAGGGTACTGCGCAGTCCTTGTTCTCACATCCAGAAAAGGATGCCATCTACTAAACTCGCCTCAGATCACCTCACCTGAGTTTGTCCTGTCCCCACTGCCAGCGGGCCGATTGACACCTGGACTTTCTCAGACCTTTGTGCTAAGACAACATCCCTCTCAAACTTGACCCTGAAGAAGGCTGCTGAGATGAGTTTCTCCACTTTACCTCCCACTTTTTCCCACACTTGAAGTTCTCTTTCAATTCTCTAACCCAGAGCCATATTCCCACAATTAAAGATAAATTGAGGAGACGCGGTGGGCACAGTAGGCTGAGGCAGGAGGATCATGAGTTCAGAGTCAGCCTCAGCAAAAAAAAGCGAGGCACTAAACAATTCAGTGAGACCCTGTTTCTAAATAACATATAAAATAGGGCTGGGGATGTGGCTCAGTGGTTGAGTGGCCCTGAGTTCAGTCCCTAGTACCAAAAGAAAAGAAAAAGATAAATCAAGTCAACATTTCTGCTAGAATGTGGCTTATCAACCCAAGTATTCAGGCCTCTGTCCAAGGTACCAAAAAGTAAAGAATTTATCCATTCAGCTCTTGATGGACACCTGTGTTGCTTCTACCTTTTGGCTGTTGTGAACAATGCTGCTATGAATACAGGGGTACAAACAACTATTTGACTCCCTGATGTCAATTCTTTTTGATACATATATGTAGCAATGGGCTTGCTGGGTCATACAATACTATGTCTAATTTTTAAAGGAATCGCCATTTGGTTTTCCACAGTGGCTGTACCCTATGTATATTTTCACTAGCAATGCACAAGGGGTCCAATTTCTCCCCATCCTCACCAACATGTAATATTTTCTTGTTTTTTAGAATGATCATCCTAATCAATGTGAAGAGAAGCTCATGGTTTTGCTTTACATTTCTTTAATGATTAATGAGGTGGGCCATCTTCTTAAGTGCTTACTGGCTATCTATATATCTTTTTTGGAGAAATATCTATTCAAGTTCTTTCTCCATTTCTAATTGAATTGTTTGGGTTTTTTATTGTTGGGTTGGTGGAGTTCTTTACATGCTTACATGTCCTGGATATTAACCACTTATCAGATATATTATTTGCAAATATTTTTACCTATTCTGTGGGTTCTCTTTTTACTCTGTAGGTAGTGTCTTTTGATGGACAAAGTTTTTAACTGATGAAGTCTGATTTATTTATTGTTTCTCTTGTTGCCTGTGCTTTTGATGACATATCCAACAAATTGCCAAATATAGTGTCATGAAGTTTTTCCTCTGAGTCCTACAGTTTTAGGTTTTCTAGTGAGGTCTTTGATCCACTTTGAGTCAATTTGAGGAGATGATAGCTTAGGATACAGCTTCATACCTTTGCATGTGGAAATCCAGTTTTCTCAACTTGTTGAAAAGACTAACCTTTCTCCCACTGAATAGTCCTGGCACCCTTGTCAATGATAATTTGAGCATATACAAGAGGATTAATTTCTGAGCTCTGCTTTATTCTGTTGGTCTCTGTTTGTCTCTATGCTGGAGTAGCATAGCTTTTTGATTTCTGTTTTGAAATCAGAAGGTGTGAAACCTCCAAACTTTGTCCTCTTTGATGATTCCTTTGGCTATTCAAGGTCTCTCGAAATTCCACTTGAATTTTAGGATGGGTTTCTCTATTTCTGCAAATAAAAGATCACTGGGATTTTGATAGGGATTACATTAAATCTATAGATCCCCCTGGGTAATACTGACATCAATTTTTAGTTTCCCAATCCATGAACATAGGATGCCTTTCCATTTATTTGATCTTCTTTAATACACTCACTTTTTATAACCAAGAAAACTGTGACCATTCTTGGTAGCTACACAAGCTCCAAAAATAAGAGGTCCATAGGTCTGAGACCAAAGCCACAACACTAGTCCCTGAGAGTCATGCCTGTCCTTCAATAGAAGCAGCTCTTGCAGGGGACACTTTCCTATCACATCTTTACTCTCAGGTGGCTGTAGCTCCTGACCTGGTCTCTGACTTCTCACTCACTCACACAACAATTCATTTAGCTAATTAGTCCTTCAGGCTGATGGAGCTGAGAGCTGTTGTTCTGGGTGCCCAGCACCCATTCTCCCTTCTTCTAGGACAGCACCACAATACCCTTTGGGAACCACCTCTCCTGTCCTCTCTGTCCATGTGCTTTGGATGGGGCTGCCCCACCCAGGCTCCAGGAGTGGGCATCTGAGCCAGGCCTAGTTGATTGGGACATTTCATCTCCTTGGCCACAGTCACGGATTCAGAAATGAACACAGTGAATCCAAGGAGAACCAATCCCAGGGTTTTGACTGAAATGACACCAAAAATGGTACTTTGACACCACAAGACTATAAGCAGTAAGGATGAGGCGCCAGAGGCCACCAGACAGAACCAGAGAACAAACAAGCCAAGAGATGAAGAGAGAACATCATGAAGAAATCACTGCAGCACCTGGATTTAGTTGTGCCTAAAGTAATTAAGCTGTGAACTTTTCAGCTGTGTGAGCTAATTGCTTCCTCTTTTTTTTTTGCCTTATAAGCTTGGATTCTGTCACAAACAAAGCAGTCATAATTGAATCAACTGCAATCTAGCCCATAAGACCAAAGCTAGACAAAATTTAAAAGTCATCTTTTCAGTGACTCTTAATTAAATATTTACATGATCATATTCCATTCAAGGTACCTTGCACATTTTATTTAATACAATAAAATGGAAAGTTATTCATTACAAAAGCACATCCTAGAAAAACAGATAAAAAGACAGAGATGTGGTTAGCATGTAGTTATCTATGTGTGACATAGGGACAAAAGGGTTGCTGAAGTTGTACAACAGATTTGGTTCTGGGTTACCTCTCATCCAAGGCAAAAAGCAAAATAGTTAATAAAATGATTGATTTGATTATCCATTAATTTCAACAGCTTTCAAAATGTTCAAGAGCATCTAAAATCTATTAGATGCAATGTTCAAATCACTGTTGTAGTCTTTTCCAAGGAAGCTTTGTTAGTTGGTTGACAAAATTTCATCTAATGGTACATAATTAGCACCTAACAAAACAAGAGAGGCTTCTTAAGGCCAAGGGCAGCTTATTTGTCTTGGTGTCCCTCCCAGTGATTGATAAATAGCAAGCACTCGATAAGTCTGTGCTTCCTGAATACAATTAAAGTATGCTCTGCTGCCAAGATCTAACTAGGCTCATGCACCTGTGAGAATCACAAATCCAATCAGAAAGAAAAAGCATCCCCACAAGGCAGCTGAGTCACACTCCTTACATAAATCTTAAGTCTCTGACATATTTTTAGATCCTAGTCTAATATGAACTAAATCATAATGAGACACTTCCCTATACACTTTGGATGAAACTAGAAAAAGAAAGCTGCTCACTCAAATTAAATTGTATGCTTTCTACATCATATTGGTTTTGCTGATAATTCACTTATGCTAAATGTCAATTTCAAAAGCTCTGGGTCTAATTGCAAAGGCTTTAGTCAGTAGTCAAAACAGAGACATTGAACAGTAGAGTTAATTAGAGAAATTTGGGGGGTGGATGAATATCATTAAGAAGCATCTGTCCTTAGTGGGATGATATCTATGTAATTGAAGGAACTGGGTCTGAGAAAGGATGTCAGTGGTTTGTGCACTGTTATCCAGGAAGCTGAAATACATGGTGTACCAGGAGGGGGATTTCCCTGGGAAAGAATTCATGTGTTTGCAAAAACTTTTGTGGAGGCCCTCATTGCCATATTGCAGAGACGCTGGTACAGCTTAATAGATAAGAGGATGATCTTTTGGCTCAAGTTTTTGTTCCATTCTTTTCTAACTATATGACCCTTCTGGAAGGTTCATAACCTCTCTCTTAGTTCCCTGTCATATAAAATGAGGGTAAGGATAGCTCAGAAAGATGTATTGAGTATTTTGTAGCAAAATATCTGTAAAACCCACCATGTTGGGTTTTACAGATATTTTGCCCTCAATATTGTAAGCCCTCAATACAAAATGCGTGTGTGTGTGTGTGTGTGTGTGTGTGTGTGAGAGAGAGAGAGAGAGAGAGAGAGAGAGAGAGAGAGATGATGGTTCATGTGGCTATCAGGAGTACAATCCAATGTAAATCAGAGAACAGGCAAATCTTTGATAGAGTTAGCTATTTGAAATGGATTCATTTCACATGAGACATTTGATACATTTTACATAGTAGATTCTAGTTTGATTTTTTAAAATAGTAAGTGTATTAGAATAAAGACTCAAGGAAGCATCACATGAGAAAATTAATATAAAACCCTAAAGCACAGCAGGTACTCAGTGACACAGCATCCCTCCTGTCATGGCCAGACCCCAGACAGCCTCACCCATGCCATGACTGTCTACATCATCCGTCCAAGTAGCAAGTTACACTTACACAAGACTGCTTTGAAATGGGGGACCCAGGTCATTTCTTACCAACATTTGTATTTTGATTGTCAACTACACAGCCTAAAACCCCTCCTCCCTACCTGAACCATCAGGTTGCTTTTGGTATTCAGGACCTTCCTCTCAGCATCCTGGAATGCCTTCTGCAGCCGCTGCTCCATGGTCTGAGCAAACTTGCAGGAATGTATGTTATCTGACTGGCTCACAAACTGTAGCACTAGAATGAGAATGAGAAATCAGCACTCACCAAAGCTTTACATCTCAGTTCCTCTGAGTGGATACCTAATAGCTCCTAGTAGCAACCATCATCTAAAACAGTATGATTTCAGGTTAGAGAAATTAGGCAAATAAACAGACCAGACAAGGTTTGATTTTGAAAGTGACTTGTAACAAAGAACAAATTCAAAGCATGATCTATAACCTGAGAGTCCCTCCAATGCAAAAGACGTTGTGATTTTATTTGGATGGAATATACACACATCTGCTCAAAGACCAACAAATAATAACCTAAGAGAGATCATGACTTCTATTTCTTTGAAGGGACAGAAAAAAAAAATCAATCGACCTCCATTACTAAGTTGATTGTTTCCATTTCAATGGTTTCTCCACTCTTGTGGTTTACAAACGTTGCAAATCAGAAATCACCAGGGAGCTTGAAAGAAAGAAAGAATCCAAGGTCTAAGCTCAGAGATTCTGATTCAGTGATATTTGGGATCTCCAGCTCCAAACTACAGATTTTATGGAGACTCAACTTTTATTGGTGTCCACTGGTGATGCAGGAAAAAAAAAAAAAAAAGCAATATGGTACTCAGTGCTCATATGTACTAATTATAAGTTGGGAAGAAAAGCTCCTAATATGGGGCATTTCTAATAAACTCAGGTTAGAAAAGTTTAGGCTGATGAGCAGGGCACTTGGACATTTGATTAGCAGGACACTTTAAAGAAGGTACACAGGGACTTTAAAAGATGGCAAAGCAGGCGGCAATGGAGTTTTTAGACAGGTATCCACTCAGTACCACCCCTGATCTTAGACTGCATAGGAATCCTTTCCTTCTGAGTTACTTGCCTGTTTTCAGCTGGAAGTAGCCTGCAGGCTGGGGCTTCCATGAGGAGGCAAGGACGGCCACAGACTGTAAGTTTGGGGTATGTTGCTTCAGATCTGCAGTGACGTTGCTGACTCCATAAACACCCAGCATTTCTATCACAACAGCAGGCAAGTATACCAACCTTCCTTTGGTAGCATAATAACCAACTGTGATGTTGTGAGAATGTTCCAGAATGTCCACCTACAAAACAAATGGACCCCCAGAACTCACTGTTTATTTCCGCAGTACTTTAAGTTCTTAGTGCTTCTGAGAACCACAACTGTTACTTAGCAAGACAGGGGAATAGGATTTTCTCCTTCCACAAACATTCTGACCCTCTTGTACATCATGCATGGATTAAAGCAGAAGTATGACAATGCAACAAAATAAAATTTACATCAAATCTACATGGGACTGAATTAAATCTGCTTTTGTCTATTTTGAAGTGCCTCAGTATAATCCTGTGAGCACTCATTATTACCTGAAAGGAAGAGAAGAGATAGTGGACAGACAAAATTTCCAGCAAATGGGATGCTGAAGAAAACAGTTTTATTATGTTTCTCATCATTTGTTAGAATAAAAAGGCAGAAATGATAAATTAAGTGGGGCATCTTTAGGAGATGGGTCAAGAAGTAAACAAAGTAAATTCCTTAATCTAGAAGCAGAGAGAAGACTTGTTTAGACTTGGCTCTATCTTTGGCTGGGACACTGGTTCAAGGCCAGGGCACGGACAAGTCACAGAGTTTGTCTCACAGCTGAGTCAAGGGACACCCAATGACCTGAGCTCTTTCTATCTCAACAGGAACATTAGGAGGCTTCAGAATTTATTCTTATTTTTTTTTCCTTTTTTGATGTTGTATATTAAGAGTTCTGAATGTTTGTTTTTGTTCTTTATATATATAAATATAATGCTTGTTATAGAATCAGCATTTCTGGAAGACAGAATAACAATTGCCTCTAATGTATCCACCATCACTGTAATATAATTATACAACAACTTCTAGGTTTATTTCCTTTTAGTCCCCCTAGTAATACATGTATATTTCACACATATAAATATATGCATGTATATACATATATGCATGCACTATAGATATTGCTTCATAACCTACTCTTTTCCTATTTATTTATTTATTTGGTGGTGCTGGTGATGGAACCCAAGGCCTTGTGCAAGTACTCTACTGCTGAACTATATCCCCAATGGGTTTTTTTGTTTGTTTGTTTGTTTGTTGATTGGTGTTTTTTTTAAACAAAAGAATTTTATTATCTCATAGTTCTGGGGGCTGGAAGTCTGAGATCAGGGTTGGCCAGCATGGTAAGGTTCTGGGGAGGACTCTTCTTCCCACTCTGCAGACAGCTGCCTTCTCACTGTGTGCTCATGGGACCTTTCCTTAGTGGGCACTTGCAGAGTGTCCCCAATTTCTTTTTACTGTGGCAAAGTACACATCTCATACCATCTGCCTTATTAACTGTCTTTAGCTGTACAGTTCAATGGTATTAAAAACATGTAATGGGTACCCAGCACCACCCCATCTCCAGAACTCTTTTCATCTTGTAAAACAGAACCTCTCATGTCAGGGTGTTTTCAAGGCCTGCTTTCCCCCTCATTCTTGCATATCCACCAGAAGAGTCATGTGGGACTAGTGGGGGACATGGCTCAGTGGTAGAGAGCTTGCGGGGCATGCATGAGGTCCAGGGTTCAAGCTCCAGCACCACAAAAAGAAAAAGATAAAAATAAAAAGTGTCATGTGTGTTTTCCAAAGAAATCAAGGTAATGGATTTTGCAACAGGATGGGTGTGGTTTGGTCCCTCCAAGGTGCATTATTATTGGTTCTTTACTAAAGATGGTGTAAAAAATGATAGAATGAGATGGACATCATTACCCTAGGTACATGTATGATTGCACATATGGTGTGATGCTACATCGTGTACACCACTGAAATGAAAGGTTGTGCTGCAGTTGTGTACAATGAATCAAAATGCATTCTGTTGTCATATATACCTAATTAAAATAAATAAATTAAACAAAAAAAGATGATTGTAGGTGAAACAAGAGAAGCTTCATGGCAGACCATAAACAGCTGAAATGACAGTCAACTCACCCAATGAGAGAACCGCTCCCCTTTCAACCCTTCTAGTTAGCTCAAAGAACAAGCCAAAGCCAGGTCAGGAACGATTTGCTTTCAACACCTCCCTGACCCTTGCTAGTTCTTCTCTTTAACAGACAAAGAGACATGAAGAACAGCCTTGGATTTAACAAGCTGTTTGGGTCCCGTGAGTCTCACTTTTACCACAATCTTTATTTGTGGCAAATGATCCTTATTTCCACGTATGGTGGTAATAGCAAATATCCTTTCAAAAGAAATGCATTTAAAATGTTTAAAGTGAGGGATGGGGTTGTAGCTCAGCTTGCACTTGCCTAGCACATGTGAAGCACTGGGTTCAATCCTCAGCACCATGTAAAAGTAAATACATAAACCAAAAAGGTATTGTGTTCATTTACAACTAAAAATAGTTAAAAAAAATTTGAAGTGAACTTAGCCTTAAAGAAGAATGAAATTATGGCATTTGCTGGTAAATGGATGGAACTGGAGAATATCATGCTAAGCAAAATAAGCCCATTCCAAAGAACCAAAGGCCAAATGTTTTCTCTCATATGAGGATGCTAATTCACAAGGAGGGAGAGAGAATATAGGTATTTTGGATGAGACGGGGGATAGTAAAGGGAGGGGAGAGGGCATGGGGATAAGAATGATAGTAGAATGAATCAGACATTATTATTACCCTGTGTGGTTCTTTACTGTAACTCTACATCATGTACAAACAGAAGAATGAGAAGTTATACTCCATTTATATATGATGTGTCAAAATGCATTTTACTATCATGTATAACCAATTAGAACTAACAAAAAATATATTTAAAGAACTGAAAGAAAAAATTTAAAGTGAACCAATTTGGGTCTGAGATGAGGTGCAGAAAATACGAAAGCTGTGTGGGTAGTTGGAGAACAGCTGAAGTTTATTGAAAACTTTATCAGGCGACTAAATGGGAACATTCACATTTCAATGGTCAAGTAAAATTTCTGGAGTAGAAACCACACAACCATCCCATGGAGTATGTTTCTATTGTTTCTTTCCTTTTTTTCCCTCCCTCCCTCCCTCCCTCCTTCTCTTCCTGTCCATCTTTCTTTCTCTCTTTCCGCTTTCTCTCTCTCTCTCTCTCTCTCTCTCTCTCTCTCTCTCTCTCTCTCTCTTCTTTAGAATTGTAGAAGAGAGACTGACAAGGACCCATAAACTATGTGCCAAACCCATTGCTAGTCCTTGGTGTGGTGGGCGGAGAGGGGACCACTGAGCTGAACACAGCTGTAGATCAGAACATCAAAGGAAGAAGCCGGAACAATATTTCTAAGTGGTATAAAAGGGAGTCCACTGACTGCCAATCACATTTACTGCTCTAACACTTGGAGTCAAACCAAAAGAGTGTAAAACAAAGCTTCCATCACTTGGACATGCCACCCAAATCAGCCAGCAGTTGTTAAACAGTACTTGGCATTGAAGTGTTCAGAGGTGGGGGAAATGTTTACTTCCCTGTGTGCTGCTGGCAATTTTAGCAAAGTTGGACTCAATTTACAAGTCAGAATGATTTTTAAATGTCCAGAAATAAATCACTATTTAAAATGGTGTGAAAGATAAAAGAAAAAGCAATGGATGGTTTCTAGAAAATTATACAGACAATATTAAATGCTCTCCCTACACAATGGGAAAATGGAACCGTTTAAAACAATATATCCAGGCTTTTTAAAAAAAATCAACATAGGCAATTAGTCTCAGTTTCCCATCTCCAGCCACAGCTATTTACCAAAATGAAGAAAGATTCCACTTCTGGAAAATGTGGGTGTTGGGGGAGGATAAAGACAATCTAAACAACACCTGGACCCCTGGGGGAGGTGGAGACGGGTTAGCTGGGTGCAAAGTGAGGAGCTTACATGAGCAGAGATGTCGTTCTGGTGGAAAGCCTTCCGCAATGCCTGCGTGAGCCCTCTGGCTACATTGAGCTTCAAGGACTCAATGCTCTGTCCTCTCCTTTGGGTTATAAAGAGAACTGTGGGGGGAAACAAGCATGGTAATCAGAGTAAGGTCCAAACCTCATAATGAACATGCCCTCCCCTCCTCTGGCCACCATCTCCTACAAATTCTGAACAAAGTTGAGAAGCAAAGGCCCACCAATGAGGGGATTGGTTGGGACAGAGGCTTTGTTGGTCCTGCTAAAGTTTGAAGGAAAGAAGGTCCTAGCCATTTGTGTGGCCCTGACAGACAAAGATTATGCTGGTGGCACTTCATTTCTGACACGTGTTGCCTCTGACCTTGAAAGCCAGGCTCTCTGGGCGGGGGGGCTGCTCTGGATGCTGCAGCCCCAGACAACCCTGAAACAGGAAGGACAGAGACAGGGATGGAGATACAGGATGGGGAAGAGGCATCTGTGATTGAATGTGACAAGTGCTATTGGAAGGGAAGTCCAGGATGCTGTTAGAGCTTCTGAGAGGAGCATCCAGTGCTGAGTTGAACAAGGGGCTGGGATCAGGGAAGGTTTCCATGGGAACTGATGCTTTGGCTGAGTCTCAAAGGATAATAGGAGTGAGCTAGGGGAGGGGAGGGACTGCCCCCACCTAGTACCAGCAGAGGGAACGCCAAGTGTAAAGTGCAGGGGACAGAAGTGAAATACTTCAGTGTGCAAATTTAGGGCAATAGGAAATGAGGAGTTCTCAGCAAAGGAATCCATTTCAGAAGGTTCCCTTGACTGCAGACTCCAAAGCAGATTGGAGGGTGGGGTTCTGCAGGCAGAGAGAGGAATGTGGTTAGTGTTGCAGAAATTTCAGTGAATGAGGACGACAGCGTGAACCCAGGAAGTGGTGGTGTGAACCAGGATGAGAGACGGGGGTTTTTCAGGAGGGATAACTGAAAGCAGCTGGTGGCTGGTTAGACATGGCTGGGGATGTGGGGAGAGAAAGAAGAGAGAGGAGAGGATGCATGGGGGTGGGAGGCTGCCCCTCAGAGGAGAAGGCGTGGGTCTGGAGAGAGTGGGGAGGGGGAGCGGAAAACCAGATGGGATCATTTATTAAGAAGCAGAAAGAGATACTGTACTTTCTGCTATGCCTAGTTTCACGATTTCCCATTTTAGAAAAGGATATGTCTCAAGATATAATTTCATTTAATTCTTTGCGGGGCGAGGAGGAAGGCGGGATGCGAGCATTCAGCATTGGCATGCTCTCTCAAATAATTTGTCTAATGCTTTTTATAGCAGACACTACCGCACTATTAAAAGCACCCTGTGCACTTGAGGGCTGCTCTGCTACCACCGGGAACTGGGGCTAAAAAGATAGCATCCTGCTTTGCCCACGGTTCTAGGGCTGCCTGCAGAGCTTTTTCAAGAAACTCTCCCCCTTAAACATGAAAAATAAATCCGGGGCTCCCACCTTGTAAACCGTAGCTGTGCTTTTTGTATCTGCTGATTAAGAAAACATGACAAAAAGCTTTTCTGAATTCTGCAGCCCTTTCCAAGACTTTGTATTAAACAAATCACATCATTTATTCATGCGAGACATCCCTGATGCACTCTGCAGGCAAAACACGATGCACGTTGGCATTCTTAGACCTGTGGTTTCCCAGGGGCCTCTCATGTCAGGACTGATCCTAGAACTAGAATCCATGTCACCTCATGCTCCTCCCCTCCTTTGACACTTGTTGAAGATCAAGGTTTCTCAACCTCAGCATACTGATATTCTGGGCTGGATTATTCTTTTTTTTGTCTGGGGCTGTCCAGTGCATTGTGGGGTATTTAGCAATATCCCAGGTCCCTATCCCACTAGAGCTCAGTAGCAGCCCCTCCCACCAAGTGCGATAACTAAAAATGTCTCCAGACGTGGCCAAATGTCTCCTGAGGGAAGGAAGACAAGGTCACCCCAGATGAGAAACATCGATCTCAAAGAGAAACAATCCTGCTATCTCTCTGAGGCCAGGCTGTGGCTTTCAAGTCCAACTGGGAGGACAGTGGCCTCTCACCTGTCTTCACCAGGAGTTTATCAGACATCTGACATTCCAGGTTGGACGCCATTTTGCCAGTTGTGACCACCGCAGTGGACGAAGCAGGGAGAGAAGCATCCGTGTTTTCTGCTTGCAAAGGGGGCAAGCGGGTGGCCTTCACTAATGCTGTAATGGAGGTCAACGCTGCGGTGACCGTCAGCGGGCGAGGGGTGGATGCCCTCGGCGTCTCTGGCTTGGTGGGGTTTGGGAGGCCTGTGTGCATGGCTTGTGGCTTCCTGGGGAGGTGTGTTGTGGACAACAGGCCCGAGGCAGCACCCGTGTCCCCCTGCATGGCTGTGTGTGTGCTCATGGTGTGTGCTGTTCTGGCAAACATGTAGGTTGGTGTGAACGGGAGGGCTGTATAGATCGCCCCTGCTGTTGCCTTTGGGCCAGATGCTGCCTTGTTGGTGACATTTTTAGCTAGAGCAGTGGTGGAACTGCTCTTGGTTAAGCCGCTGCTGCCGGTGCCCTTGGCAACCAGGGCTGCAGACAGCGCCTGTGGACTCGACTTCTTCAGAAACAATGTGGCCGCTGCCGCTGCTGCTTCTGCTGTTGGCTCTACCTTGGATGACACCGAGGAGTCCACTGTAAAGAGAGAAGAGGCAAAGCTTGTCACTGGCTGGGAATACATACGACACTTGTTCTGATGATGAATGGAGGGAACCTATGGGTTAGCTGGGGTGAGGAGTGTCAGCTCTCTGGGCTGGCAAGCAAAACAACTTAGGCTCATTAAGGTAATTAACCATAATGAGAATGCCGCTTACAGCCAAGCCATGGTTGGTAAAAAGGGCATAAATTCTGAATACTTAAAAAAAAAATGAAGTGGGTAGAGGATCAACTACGTGTCTACTTGGGCTGCTAACTCTCACTTCTGAAGGGGAGGTATGTGCCTTCAGAGCAAAGCTGGGTGTTGAGCTTGAAGATGCTTTGGTCCCCGAAAGCAGTCATACCTGTTTTTTGGGTACCAAGAAACAAACTACCTGCATTAGTGGTTGCACCTGTCCATTTCTTGGGGTGCTGGGAAGCTTGAAGCACTTTGGAGGGGGTCCTGGGGAAGGCACTGGTTGATAGAGGAGATTCAGCAGCTGACTGATAGCCAAGATTGCTCCGGAATGACGTGGAAGCATTTATTCTGGGTGATGGGTAGATGTCACTGGAAATGTGGGACCCTGTATCCATTCCATCGGAAAGCATGTCCTGCAAGCTTGTTGTAGAAGATAGACGTGGCCAGGTCAGCCAAAAAGGATGGCTTGACTGGGCAGAACGTTGACTTGTGGATGGGTAATATTCAACTTTGGCTGTTTGGAAGTCTCTGGGATGGTTGTTATGGCTTGTGGGCCAGAGGTCTGTATGATTTGCGGCCAAGGTGACATCCGACTGCTGCACAGGCTGGTTGGTGCTTGTCCTAAGGACCAGATCTTGGATGTTAAAGCCTTCTGCAGCCACTGAATGCCCAGCAGTATCTTTGATATTCTGAGATTTTACTGCTTTGGCAGCTGAAGTTAAACCCCAGGGAAGAGAAGTGGCAGCTGAACGAACTTCCCAACTGGCGGAGTTAATTGTGTGACCATTTGAACCATCACTTGTTTGCTGCTGCAAGCCAGATATTGTGGAATCTCTGGAAAGGGTTCCTGTTTTTGCTGAAAGAGAACTCCAGAAAACATCTGTGGTTGTTGGCTTTTTCGTGTCTCCCATTGTTGAGAAATCATCAGCATCAGTGGAGGAGGGAGATGCTGTCACCTGCTTGGAAGCAGAAACGGGCAATTCAGAATGGCCCTCAGCAGCTGTGTCAGTCTCCAGCTTGGTGCTGGCGAAGCCAGGAGATGGGAAAACCAGGTGGGTGGTCTGAATGGTGGGCCTGGAGGCTGGAGGTGATCCTGAAGGAAGGAGGTTTGTCCCTGATGTTGTAGTGACGGGAGATGACATTGGATCAGCGCTAAAGTCAGAGCGGAACCCATTTACAGTGTGAGGACTCAAAACTTCTTTACTTGGAATAGTCACATTTGCCTTTTTATTTTCCCCTAAAAAGGCTGTCACGCTGACCTCTTTCTGCAGGGGATGTGTCCAAGTTGTGGAAAGAAGATCAGGAAGGTTCCTTGAGAGGAACAAGTCTGTGGCTGCAGGAGGGGCCCCGTCATTGCCTTCTTCTTGAGGTGTGGGCATTTCAGGTACAAGGGATGGCAAGGTACGCTCTTCTGCAGGCTGAAGGACAGCGATCATGGAGGGAAGGTTGCCTTTCCCATTTGATGGCGATGCGGGAACTGTCCCAGAAAGGACGGCTTGCCCTTGACCCAGAGGAGTGAAAGGCAGCAGAGCAGGCACCAAAGATGTGTGTTCGGTTGAAAGGGCAGGCCTTCTGGAATTCTCTGGATCTGCTGACAAATGTGGTGGGTTAGCAGGGTCACTTGCAGTAGTAGCAGGGGCTAGCTTTCTGCTGGTCATTTCTATGGTCACTGATTCTGTAGTCCGAAACAATGAAAGCTCAGCCGCCTGGGTCGCTGCTGCCGTGCTCTTAAAAGTTGGCAAAGACACCCCATTGTGCGCTCTTTTAGCCCCTGCAGTGTGGACTGGGTGGGTGGATGCAGGACTCGAAGCCACTTCCATCATGGACCATGAGGGGGTCCCACCTGGAAGCCGAGGAAGACCTCCAGGTGCTAGGGTCGGGGGAGGCAGACGGGCCAATTCTGCCATGGAGCTTAAACCCCCAGGTGTGGGTGAGCCTGTAGATTGGGGACCCTCTGTTGGGGACAGTTCAGAGTACTGCTTTGTTGAGGATCCAGAAAAACTTAGATGAGGGACACCTATGGAACCCTGGGCATTTTGGGATGGAATGTGGTTCATTTTGTCAAAAGCTGGGATTAGGGCATTAGCTACAGTCTGAGCTGAGGAGGAGTCGGGTGGAGCTATTTGGGGGAACAAAGGCACATGGGTGGGACGCTCTTCTGGTTTAGAGGAGGTGATGGAATGAGGTGAGTTGGAGGTCAATGGAGAGGATGAAGGTGGAGGAGGAAGTGGGAGCATATCTGATCTCAGGGGATGCTCCGAAAGGGAAGGAGTCCCTACCCGCGGCTGAGATGGGGGGACGGCACTCAAGGTCACCGATGGGACTGTGGACCACGGGGGAAGCATGCGGGCGTGAGGCAAACCTGACACGTCCGCTGCTTCTCTTCCCCCTGGAGGCCTCGGTTGGACCAGGGACTCGCTGGAATCTTTAGAGGGCTCCAGGGAGGCGCTCTGTCCGCTTCCTTGGTAAAGGGAAGGAGAGAAGTCCACGTGAGCCCTGGCCCTGCGGTGTACTCTGGGCGGAGGTGTCCGGGCTAACTGTAGCAAGCTCGTGTTATCAGGGGACTGTTCCAGCACATTCTTGATTCTGTCCACTGCCAAAGAAGACTTGACTTCCGAGAAAGGCCATGTTGGTGAAATTGGTAACAACTTCCCATGAGGAAATGACTCCGGGGTTGGGGTGACGTGGATCTGCAGATTATCTGCTCCTGTGAAACAAAGTTTTTGCAGTAAGGCATTGGAATCAGGAAGGTGCTGGAGGAGTGGGCCAGACAGGCCCTTCCTGGTCTTAGAGCTTATTCAAACAACGAGTTAAATCTCTACAAATATCCACAGGATGGGGTCGGTGAGAGCATTCTTTGATGAAGGGATATTTAAGCAAAAATGTGAAAGATATTCACGTGTTTTTTTTTAAATCTGCTTTCATTCATACCAACCTATAAAGTATCAATTATTAAAAACAATAAATAGATGGGAGAAAGGCCAGTGGAGTAGAAGAGGGGGAACCGGATATAGGGAAAAAGGAGAGGGAGGAAGGAAGGAGGTACTGGGAACAAATGACATTCCATGCACGTGTGACTAGGTCCAAAGGAACCCCAACATTATGAATAGCTATAATACACTCATAAAAACATTTTTAAAAAATATCTTGTAGCACCTATGAGATTTGAACCATAAAACTCGCAACTTAGAAAAAAAGGTAGCTACCCGTCATGACCAATGACACCAAAAGTAAATCTCCTCCAAGAAACTCATATGCCCAAAACTCTTAAAGGACGATGCATCTGAGCGTGGATCTTCTTTTAGGTCTCTAAGGCATCTCCACTGAAATATCTGAGGTTGCCTGTTTGGAATGATGGCGCCAATGAAACATATTTCTCTTCTTGGGTTTAAAAGGATCCCTGATGTTATCGTTCACACCGAGTCAAGTAGCAAAGGAGATTGCTTTCAGATTAGGCTGTTTCAGAAAGAAAAATGACTCACCCAACCTAGGACAGGAGACACCTCTCACAAGGCCTGGTGTCACTATAAGCACCTGCGGAGACCAGAGCTGTCAGAACTAATGTGTGAAACCTTAGGCAGGGGAGGGGGGGCTCCACAGGAAATGGGGAGATGAAATTTCAGGAAGCTAGGAACTTCACCCATCCTGTCTGATGATTCCCCTTTCCACAGTTCCTGAGGATTGGTGGTGCAGAGTGGCTAAATGTCCTTAATGAATATTTTAAAGATTCTTCTAGAGCCTTCTACATAGGGCTATTTGATATAAATAATCACGTCAAGAGGTGAAGTCAGAAACTATGGGTCTGCTCATATCCTCAGCTCCCTGTAGCTGCATATGAGTGTCTATACAACTGTCACATGGAGATGGTGACAACAAGCACATCCAAATTACCCTCTGGGCCATGGTGAGCAGCAAATGAAATCATTATCGCGGTGGAAGGACAGATTTCCAGAGACGCACTAAACAAATGAGCTGTTGTCACAGGCTCTGCGCCCTATGTTTGTGTGTTCAATGAAAGAGGACACTGTGGTCCAGACAAGGGACACCCTTTGTCGGAAGCCACATAACTGATCAGGGGCAGAAGCAGGTCTGGATGTGGAGGCTCCTCTCTCCTGTGCGGGGCTTCCTCTCCACCATGCTTTTCTCAGGTTGGTACCTATTCTTCACATGGCATTCTGCCAACCAAAAGAGCAAACAACTAAAGCTAAAGTCTTATTATATTGGAGCTTTTAGAATCAGCAAGATTTTCTGCAGTCCCAAAAGCTAAGTAGTAATTTTTCCTTGAAATGATCTTTACCGTTGCCTTTTGTAAGGTTTGGAAAAGTAAGGAATATCTTTCACTCTGAATTAGGGAACACGTGAAAAAAAAATTTCCCGACTCTTTGCTTTCTTGTTTTTAAAATTTCCCATTCTTGGAATTTGCAGATGCTCAAGAAATTGTCCTCAAGTCATCTTTAGAACATGCTGGGGTGTAAGCCAATACTATAACCATCTTTAAAGGATTTGTTGATGATCCATTTTGTAAGCAATACCAAGCCCTTCTGGGCAAGCCATCTAACAAGCCCCACTTAGCCTGAGTGGCTCCTTATAACCAGATCAGAATCATCAGGGCTCCTACCTGCAGAGCGCAAAGCTCCCTCTGGCCTCTGCTAGCCAAACCTCACCTTAAACACAAATCAATGGCAAGATGTACATAGCTTCAGGACACCAAAGTGTACACAGTATTGTGTTCAAGTATGTGCAAACCCTGGGAAATGCTTCATAGTTTGCAATGGACGTGCTTCTATATCACCACATGCAGCCCAAGGAGCCATTCACCCCCACCCAGTTCCGTCAGTTGCAATGTTACATGGAGGGCCGATCCTGCTTTCACACCTCAATCCTTCCTGTTCGTAGCCTCAACTTCACACTTTGCATGCAATCTGGGAACATAGGTGAATATAGAATCTATATAAGGTCATTCTGCATTTTCATGTTTTCCAGTTACATTTTAGAGTCCATTTTTGTTGCTTAGATGTTGGGTAATATTTATGCATGATTTCTTCTTTTGTACTTTCATGGAAATAGATTTGACCATGAGTTCAACTCATGGATTCAAGAGTCAAAACAAGAATTTATCTTGTTTCAAATAAATAGCCTTGTAACTCAAAAAGAATGCTGTAACCCAAGTACCTTTTGCTTTCAGTAAGATGACTCATAAACTCTTGCACAAAAATCTTTGCCAACAGGACGGAAGAAGAATGGGTCATTGGGTGATAATGTAAGGGTTTTGTATCTAACTGAGTGATCACAACCAAAGAAAAACCAATGAAAAACTCCACAACAAAGTGAAGAAAAATTATCTCTAGTGGATTTATTTCTACTAGATTCTGCTGTTTTCCCAATTAGAATTTGGTGCTCCCCAAGATAGCTCTGTTTCAAACGCCTCATGGGGAAAAGTTTCCACAGACCATTTTGAAGAGTTGTATGCTACCCTCCCCTGTGAGAATCCCGGATGCTATTCACCATATATTTCTGTTTCCACCTTCTGAGCGGGTGAAGTTGTGAAGTTTCATGGCTAAACTTCAGGCTACCTTTGGGGTTGGCTGAGGCCATGTGACTGGTTCTGACCAATCAGGTGTGGGAGGAAACGGTAAGCTTCACTTGTGGGCTGGGGCATTTAAATGTTGGAGGAAGATCCTTACTTTTTAAAAGGAAAGACCTGTTCTGGCAATAACAACAACAACCAAAACCCTAGAAATATTATATTCCTACAGGTTGTTGCTAAATTAAAAAAAATGGAGGAAAAGAAAGAAACTAGAAGTGTTAAACATGATTGCTGGTTTGCTGCTCTGGGTCCCTTGGGGATGAGGATAAGCAAAAGACCTCTCTGACAAAGGATGAACAGGTAACACGAGCAAGAAATTAGCCTTTGCTGTCATCGTAGTTTGGGTATTTTTTGTCACTGAAGCACAATTTACCCTAGCCTATTTAGAAATTGGTTCCAGAGTGGATATGGAACTTGATGTGTGTATATTTCCATGTACATCAAGTAAGATCTAAGACTAAGATCTCTGAAATCATGAGCACTCAAATTAAATGTTTCCTCCTTTATAATTGTTCTGGTTGGATCCTTTTAGTCACAGCAGCAAAAAAGCTGACTAAAGCACATCCCTACCCTCTCTTCTTGTGGGTTAGCATACATATATCAGAAAGAACATTCAGCTTTTTGGTGTTTTGGGATTGGCTTATTTCACTTAGCATAATAGTCTACAGATCCATTCATTTACCAGCAAATGCCATAATTTTGTTCTTCTTTATAGCTCAATAATATTCCATTGTGTGTATGTGTGTGTACACACACACACTCACATTTTCTTTACCCATTCATCTGTTGAAGGGCACCTAGTTTGGTTCCATAGTTTGGCTATTGTGAATTGAGCTGTTATAAACATCGATGTGGCTGTGTCACTGTAGTATGCTGATTTTAAATACTTTGGGAGATGTTTTACATCATAAAGAAGAAACCAGTTTCTAAAGAGGGGTGCTAATTCTCAGACAGCAGTGAGATTCCTGAGGCACTCAAGGCTTCTCGACTGGCAAGGCACAGCATGCTGAAGTGGTAGTTTTATTGGAATATCTATTTATTGGAATATCTTATTTATGAAGAGAAACATTATCTTGAGTAGGATACAACAGTCACATGAAAACTAGGGCCTTCAAGGCACGCCGACAAACGTTTGCGCCTGACACTGACCCTGGAGAGTCACTTTATCCTTCCCCCCAATGAGAGTACTCTGACAGTAAAGATGCTTTAAAAGGCTGACTGGAGAGGACCCAGATCTGTCTGAACCATGCAGAAAGGGGGCTGCAGGTGTGATTTAGCACTCCAGGAACAGAACCAGGGCCAGGGGGAAGAGGCACAAGGAGAGATTAGACCCGAAAAGAACAGATTTCTCCAATTATTAAAACTATGAAAACCAGAATGATCTGGCTTCAGGTCAGTGAGTTCTCCACCACTAGAAGAATCCAAAGGGGCATGTTTTAGATTGACTCAACTCCACCTTCCCTCCTTCCCGCCTCCATCTCTTCTGTCCATCTGTAATATGTGCCGTATGCCAGACACTGAGTAAAGGAATGTCATAAAGAAAAAACATACATAATCTATGGCTTCATAGAACTCACAGTTCTCAGGCAGATGTGGATGTAAAGCAAACATTCTCACAAGTGTAAAAATGACAGATGCTTCATCCTTAAGAGCATGCAATGGGACTCGATCAAGGAAATGAGGGAGCACATCACTGGGCAAGTGACTATCAAGATCCAAAGAATGAATAGAGGGCTAATCAAGCAAAGAGGATAAAGTAAAGTATTCCACATAGAGAGATAAGCATAGGCAAAGGCCCTGGGGCAGGTAATAGTATGAGGACAAGGAACCGAAAGAAGGAAGCCACGGCTAGATTGGGAAGAACAAGGTGGGCATAAGATAAGGCTGCAGAGGTGGGTTGGCCAGACCACTGGAGCACTGTAGGTTTTAGTTCAATGGAGAGGATGAGGGAAAATGATGTTCAGGAGCAAATTGGTATGTTGGATGAATCATTTTGTCTGTGGAGTGAAAAATTGACAGCATAGGGGCAAAAGTGAATGACAGGAGTCATAAGACACCTGCAGAGGACCTCGCACGAGATAATAGGAAGGTTGTAAAGAAGAGTTGAGCCATGGGCGGGA